TTTTAACTCACTCATCGCCTCGAATTTCTGAGTTTTCATGTAATCCTGTATTCGTATATAGTACACCTTTTCTGTGCACATACCTAGTTTCAACCTTCTCTTTCCTGCATTATTGCTTTTGGTAGATATAAGAAGCATTAAATTATGATCGGCTGAACGAAGTTTGTAATGGCATTCATGATACAGTTTGAAAGTGCAATGGAATACTTGTATTATTAAGATGAATACAGTAAAGCATAGACCCGGTGACTTCGATTCCCTGTCCATCTTTTGCTTGGAAAAAATCATGTATCATTACTTAATACTTGTTGCTTCATATTTATACTCTAATGATAAGTTTGAGTTTCGGATTTTGTTTCGATCTGATTTTTTTAATTTGTGATGCGAAGCCTCGCACTGCCTTTGGCGTTTTTTACGGGAAAACTTCGATATATATTGCAGCTGAACTGTATTGTTGTCATTAGTATCATCGCCGGAACATTAACGTATATGTTCACTATGGGAAATATCATCAGTGATATCTTTGTCCTATCTTCAGGTCTTCTTCACTTTATCCAGATTCTCGTAATTAGGCACACAAATTCTGCTTGTAACACAATTTGCTTCCAAGAAGTATGGTAAATTTTTCTTAAAAAGTTTGTAAGGTTCTAATTACATATTAGTTTGCGACGATTTTTGTAGAGACGTTTTCGACCTTTGAATTTTTCTCTTTGCATCAGGTATAGGACAAAATTATGTAGGGTAATGTAAAGTGCAGTTCAAGGTATGATATTTTTGGCGTTCTGTTTTTGTCTTCCAACCATTTCGATAGTTCGGCTGGTGCTACACTTTACGACTTTTGCTTTGTTTCATCAAATTTCCCTTCCGACAAAAAGATTGTCATGTCTAGTGACAGTTCATTAAATTGGAATTTTAACCTTTAGACAGACCTCAAATCAGCAGAGCAGTTATTTATATTATCGTCCACCGTGTTCTTTTAAAATCTGAGTCAAAAAGAATTCTGTTTTTGGTTTATATTCCATACATTACGTATATTTTTCTCATTGTTCTATTCTTTTTTTCTCCTGGAACAGAAAGTTATTGCAATAGTTCTCTAAAAAATTTATCTGGCTGTTTTTTTACGTGGTCTCGTTATATCGTGCTTGCTCACATTTTCAGCGATTGCTTTAAAACTTTATTTCAAGGGAACGACGGCTCAAAATAACACTAATTTAGTTGGTCATTATGAAGAAAATGTGGAATACTTACCAAAGATCTTTTCTGAATGGGTTGGGGATTTGTGTTTTGAGCTCGTTTTCATGCAAGCTTTGGTTAAGCTATTCCATTTCCTTTACTTATTCTGTCATTTAACCACCATTTCCTTCTTTTTCTATGTGCTTTCTTTGTCCAGTCAAAATTTACAAATTAAAATAAGACAATGGCCAAAAATGGAACTTTTTTAAAATATTAGTTCTGCCTTCCACTATCAATTTGCTTATAACAGCTCTTGTATACTTCATTCGAGTCAAAAAATTTTTTACTAAGCGTGTATTGGAAACACTACGAGATGTTTTATGAAGGCATTCTTCGCTTGGACGTGTTATTCTTAAGCAAATTATTGATTAACTTTTAGTTTTGATTCACATTATTCGGAATGGTTGTGATTCGGGAAGCTGTTATAGCGCAAATGAAACGGTTGTTGGTATACATTGATGGTATTTTGCATAGTGTGTTATTATATTACGGTATCTGCTCGGAGTGGTTACATACGACATTTGCGCTGTCTTCTTTCCTTCTTTGGAGGATTGTTGATAGATAGTAGTTTGCTTTACAATGTTCAAGTAATTTCGTTCCAAAAATATTCCCTTCGTGGTTTGCATTTGTCGCACGTGACGGTGTTGTACCTTATAATTTTCTTTTTTTTTAAATATATTGCTTTCTTGGCAATTCGGGTAGTTCTTTTTATAGAGTTCAATGGAAGGACTAGATTTCATATTTCAGCTACATTTTTTTACCTGAAAAATAAATGGGTTAGTTTAGAATTACAGGGTTTAGTACATAAAAGTTTACTTTTCCGCACTTTAATTTCGATTCTTTTTTAATGTAAGGTCTCGCAAAAAGATTTTCAATCTTATTTTTAATTATGCAGCGAAGTTACCTTCATATTGGAAGCTGAGTGAGATTGAAAAGAAGTGAATTTTTAGTGGTTATCATTGCTTCTCGTATTTCGTACTTTTCATCATTGTGTGTTAAACTTCATATTTTATCAATTATTATCATTGTTGTATTGCTCTGTTCATATGAAAGAAGTTGGTGTTTCTAAAAGGAAAGAAATCATTATTATGGTTTTATATTTGAATAAAATTGCTTTACCGTAACTACTCATTTCGCATTTGAATAAGATCAATGATACCTTTGTAAAAGTTCTACTAATTTCAGTGCTGTTGATATGTTAATTTCATTATTCCCTCTTATTCAGATATAAACGAATGATAACTGCATGACTTTCATATTAAGCAAAAAATTTTTTAGTGTTATCTGATAGTTCAAAAATATTGTGAAAAGCGTGAACTTGGCACTTTGTTTTTCACTATTAACTTTTCTAAGACAGCAGTTATTCAGTTGGGTGGTCACTCTGCTTTCATTGATCAGGTTTTGTTGAACTCGTACTGTTGGAGTGTGGTGAAAAAAGTGTGGATAGAAGTTTAGGTCTGCTAATTTTATTTGTTTGCTTAATTCAACAGTATTGTAATACTGTTAAGAAAGTAGCTATCGAAGCCTTAGCAATTAAAACTTTCAAAGCTTGTGATTTGACCATTACGAAATGGCATAGGTCATTCCCACCGTATTTCCTCCTCACAATGATATAATATAATTAAGACAACTCAAAAGATGTCGAAATGTATTTTGTGCATTTTTTATTCTTTGTATGTATATGAGTGAATAGACGACGAATTTAATATCAGGAAGAGATGTTTGTGGTTGGATAGATGAGGTATTATAGAAGGGTGTATTAAATGCACTATTTGTAAGTAAAATTTAATTAGATCGATTGTTTCCTTGGTAACGCTCAACTGTTGCGGTGTATGATGATTAACGAAGCAAGGCACGGTTTTCTAACTGCAAATGCTTGAATTATCCATCTTTCCATTTCCGTCATTCGAATTCCACAATATTGCTTCATGAAGTATGTTGTTCACTATCCACTTTATCTCCTTACATCGTCCCCACTCATCTTTCAGATCTCATCTCATTTTTTGAACCGTAAAAAATTGAGATATTCTGTACTATGAGTGTCTTCCCTGAATCGTGAATACATCATCATCATGTGTATCTATCCCGAAACATAAAGCATTACTGCTCACCTGTATTATGCGGATGTTATGAAGCATGGATTTGAATTATCTTCCACTATAATGGGTATTAATAAATATTACACTAATTGTAATGTGATTTTGACGAAGAAATGGAGTGCATTCTTTTCTTTGTCGTTAATTTCCAAAATTTTCATTATGTTTGAAAGGTTTTATGGGAAAAAAATAAATGTGAAAATACAAAGAAGACCATATCTTTAAGCACATATCATTAGTAGATCACTTTGATAGCGAAAAACTAACTGATAAAAATTAATTTGCATAATAAGTAAATATGACTTCATTGACGACCCGGCTACCAGCTTCAATTGGCAGTGAATTTGATAAGACTGGCTTAAAATTAATGTCTCCATTAAGATTGGGGATATTTTTCTCAAATATTTCAGTTATTTTCTCTACACATCAATTTGTTGACTCAAAAAACAAAAAATTCAGCTCTTTTAAATTCAAATATCTATCGTTCATAGGATCACACTATACCATCTGGACTTTTTAAACCTTTCAAGATTACTTTTGTTAATTTGGTGTATTAATAATTAAATATTTTTAAAAGAAGGTAAGTTCAAATATATTGGCAAAGGTTCAGTAAAGCTTCAGTACTACTTTTTATAAACACAAATGTTCATTTCATCTTCCCATCCATCAAAAATGTTTCTGAGATTTGATTGACACATGCTTTTATCATTGGTATTATGGATTCACTCCGGAAAAGTGATGTGCAACTATTTTCGAACTGCAAATATCAAAAAGAAAGCTTCAGCAAAGTTCCAGATGGTTTTTTTTCCTGCAGTCCTTGTGATAAAAAAATTTCTAAAAACTTCAAAAGTAGCAGTTGTATACCACTATTCACCTTATATCTAAATATTTCAGTGTTAATAGCTGGTACACATACTGACAACAGATAGTTGCATTTTAAATCAAAAATAATTAAAACTCGGCTGATTAAACCAATCAATTAAAGTGAATGGAAGTTTATTTTCCAAATTTCATTTAGTGTGACCATCAAATTTCAGTTTTCAATGTTGTAACAATTTTATAATTCAATACTACAACAAATTTTAAAAGTTCTCTGCAGATAATTTTTATTGAAAATTGTCAAAAAAAAGCAACTTTTGGAAGGTTTTGATAAAACAGTAAAAACAAAAAAGGTAATTAGTGCAGATGTCATAAAATAGCATGGCGAAAGCAACCAATATTTCACGTTAACGGCGAATCACCACCACCACCACCACCACCTGCCTTTAACTTGCAGTGAACTTTATAAAATTGGTTCAAAATTATTTGAAATTGATATATCCATTAAGAACAGGAATAAATTTTTTAAATATTTTATTTGAACTTTACAGCTCAACTAACAATTCAAAATCCTTACAATAAAAAAATTGAGGAAAAGGAGGAATTTGTTCTTTTTATGTAGAAATCATGCAGAAATAATTCACCTTCTTCAGAGTTGCATAAATTTTAATGTTTATTGAGTGACAGTCATTTTAAATAAATATTTGTTGCAGGAAGAATGAGATTTGGTTTGCGATCGAAGTAGGAGAGGACAAGGAAAGACTAGCGCTGCGACTTTCTTGGTCTTTTCAGTTTCGCAGCTTCTTCGGCTTTCCTTTCCTCCCGTAAAACGCAAGCCGAGAAAAACTAACGAAAAGTTAAAGCTGACCAGGTGGAAGACTTGTGATTTTGTTGTTTATACATTTTCAGCAACAGCAAATCCGAGCTCTCCACCCGGAGGCATGCCGGTAAACCTTACAAGTTAGTAAAATACTTAAAGATCAATTCAGTTCATTTCATTTTTATGATCCTAGTGGTGGCAAAAGATTGAAAAACCAATTCCGAAACCGTAATGTGTTTACTTTCCTTTATTCACTATTCTAAAATGACAAAAATGATCAATGAAACCTCGCCTTTTCTACACCCCCCTTATATATTGCATGTGAAAATTTGACCCAATAACACCGTTACTTCTTAATTAACTGACCACCCTCTTTGCAACTACTAAACCATTATGGTTTGGAAGCTTTATTAAGCGCATTAAAAACTATACAACTGTGTTGCTCATGAATAATGAAAATTGGTATGAAAGTGAAGGCATTTTACAAATGTCAATATTCAATACAGCAAACAAATTTCCATAATTAATCCTATTAGCCTTAAATTTAAGCCAGATAAGTCCACTTTGTTAAGTTGGGATATCTCCACATTCTGAGTATTTCTGAATAAAATTCTTGATAAAGTTTCGGAATGCAAATGATTTCGATTTTTCTTAAGGATGTAATCGATTAGATCGAAATCCTCATCAAATAAATAAGCACTAATGTATACAATTGCATCATTGCATTTTTCTTTTAACTCCTAAATTTTAAACATAATTTTGAAATTCTGTAAGAATTTTAGGAAAGGAGAAAACATGGCAGCAGAAATAGATGAAATATTATATACAAACCCGGAAACAAAAACTAATAAATAACAAATTAATCTAACAAACACGAAAAATCGTGTTATCCATCAGCGGTAATTACTAGAAATTTCTGCTAGCAAATTATATTTTATGGGGAAACCGTACTTTAAACTAAAATATGCATAATCGTGTAAAATTTACTGTCAAGTGGATAAGAATCTCTCTTTCTTCCATTTCAAACCACAGTTTATCGTTTTCTAGTTTTTCACTTCAACTCCAGTTAGAATCACCATTTCGCACTCAGAAAGACGTGCAGAGCTCAACTTTTCAAAAATTGGAGTGAAGATATTTTATGATAATAGGATTCTATTATTACATTTTAATCTGTGTACCATTACATTCTTTTTCTATTTTACCTTATTTATCTTCCTATCATTATAAAACACTTACACCCTGGAAGCTTCATTTTGTTCTTCGCCTCAGATCTATTCATCTAAATCAAATGTGAAGGGTTCAACAATAATTCGAAAGGTTTTATATCTCTCAATATGAGATAAAATTACAATTAAACAGAAAATTTTACTATGCATAGCTGGTTTTCAATTTTGAGCACACACAGGCGGGTCTACAGTTGGTAGCGCGTCGTCGTCTTGGCGTGACACGTTCGGCTGGGGATGATTCACTGGTTGAATAATGTACAGTGATCAAATTTTCTAATGTTTCTAACATTTCTTCCATATGTTCGATTTGCTGTTGAGTAATGCATGGCTCACCGTTTGGGAACGTACGTTCGAGCGCTGCGCAACGTCGCATTTCAACGACGCACGCATTTACACAACCAATAAACTGCGATGCATGCCGGGTAAATTCAACACCTGTAGTACATTTTTGTTAAAACATCGGTTCTTCCGAGAATTAAATCATTGTCATAATGAATTAAGATTTAATAGTTTACAGTACTCGAAGCAATGAATGGAACGTGATGCTACTACACATATGTCTCATGAGATTTTAAATAATTTCATTTTTAAACCTCTAATGATTAACCTTCTGGACGCCAATTTGAGTAGTAAAAGTAGTAATGAAAGTATTAATGAAAATCTTAATAGCAATAATCTAATTTGCTCGAATTTTTTTTTCAATATAGCTCTTAAACAGCACTTACTTTCATGGCGAAGTTGAGGAAGAATGCAACTTTTGGCCGCTTCACAAGCTCTAATGCAAGTCCGACCAAACGAATCAACATCACTACGAAGTTGTAGTCCATCTTGTCCTGTACCAATACACTGGACCACATTTCGAAACTGCGCTAACTGTACATTAGAGTCATGTACCAGCTTAAATATAATGATGCGACATTATTCCACTCTTATCAGTATGTAATGCACACTGCTTAAACATTAAACAATACTTTGGCTAATCGCATATCAACCATACTAATTCGTTCCTATCTTTAATCATTAATGCTTCATCTTACTGTAACTTTCATGCAGTTGCAGTTTACGCTGACATCACTACCAATAATAATTAAGACAAATAATAAGGAGATGAATACCTCTTGCAGCTTCCTCACACTTGAGAGAGAGTGTTGTCGCAGTTTGGAGGCCATTCAGTGTCCCAAGCAATGGTTGGCACTGACGCTGCTTCTGCTGCTACTGCTGCTGGCGCTAATGACGATGGCGATGTTTGCGAATCACTGGGCTTATCCTATTGATCGCTATAGGAAGCATTCTCGCAGCATCAACAACATCACCTTCTCTCAGTGAAGTCCTGAAAGTAACTGTTCCAGGATAACCTCCCTTCCAGCACTCTACCTGCATTCGACCTCCTTGATTCGTCCATCCTCACTATAACATGTCCGTGATATCATCCCTGCTTAGGCCTAAGAATTAGTGACTCATCTGAAGCACTGTATTCTATTAGTTTCGTAACATTTGCTCGGGTAGTAAAATCTCCGACCCACTGTTTGACACATTTTCATGCGGACTATTTAGCACATTCATTGAGCCTAATCCCTCACTGTTTCCCATCACTAATTTATTGCGTGTGTAAAGAAAAAACCTGAAGCGTTCTCAATATTTTGAAATTTTTAAGAAAGTAAACTCGTCGGAGATTTAATTCATCATAACAAATAATACTCTCGTTATGTTTTTCTTCCACATTATGCGGAATGAAGGTGATTATAAAAGTCGACGATTAAATAGCTGAAATGCCTATTTAAAGATGGTGTAATATTTGAATCGAAATAGTCAGTGGGGCTAGCTTCAAAAATGTCTGCTAGGTATAATACATGTTTGGAATACAGAGTAGCAAACACTGTAGACTTTTACTAAATGCGCTCAGAAACATCACAAAAAATCAAAAATATTAGTGAAAACTCGAAAAAGCGATATACAATTTCAACGACAATAAAATGCAAAGTTTAACATTGAAATTTAGTCCTGACTTTTCTATATCTACACTAGTACCGCAAGTTTTCAAAAAATATGTTGTTCGGGTTTGCTTATCTATACATAAATAGAAAAACGAAAAAGGAAAGATTTACGAGATAAGGTATGCCTTCTTTGTATTCCTCAAAGATATACGACCACTCATTAGAAAGAAAAAAATCAGCATATGTGTTTTCTTTTGTCTTGATTCATTCATATATATCTACTTACGTAAGGTATGCTGAAAGTAAAAACGGATCAATTTGACAAGATTTAATTACTTATAAGAACACTGAAAATATTAGCATTCCTAGTAAACGATTATCCTCAGTCTTCAATATAAATGTCATCATGGTAACTGTTACTGCGGGCATCACCATCGCTATTGTCGGAATCATCTTCAACAACATCATTCTCATCCGAATATTCGAAAAAGACAGCTTGTTCCACTTCCTCAGGAACACCTTTTGCTGGTAGTTCAAAGTGTGGGCCCCATAGAAGTGGAATTAAAGGTTTGTTAAATTTCTTTGATTTTTGTTCGAGATTATACTTCCATTCATTTGCCTGAAATTACTGAAATGTTGGGATATGAACTTATAATTTCTAGCTTTCAACCATAGTTGATGTTAAATTGGGACCTGAAATTCACGAATGTCCTCAACAAGATGAAAAGCGAATTCTAATTCAAAAGAATAATGGAACTAAAGTTCTTAACATTAATGACGCGTAGCCAGATTTCCCTGTTAATACTCTTAATAAGTTCATGGCTTATTCGAGACAGATTTCAAAAAACGGACTATCAGAATTTTTAAAGTAATTCTGACTACTATTGTAATCAGAATTACTTTAAATCGTGTGTCGGTAATGACAACAATAACAATAAAGCACAGAAAACTGACATCAGCTTGAACTTAATTATAAGAGACTTACCGTCCAATGGTTAACGTAGAAATGTGTAAGTAAATTTACAGCAAAGTTTGTTCTCTTTGTTCCCTTCCCATGCTTAATAATAAACCAAAGCACAATATTAACTACTAATGTTTACATTACTAGCAATTTATATTCAAAGAAGATTAAAATGATTCGAATTATAAAATTTAATAATTGGCAATCAGAAATAATGTGAAATTACAATTATCAAAATTAATGAAAAGAGCAGATAATTTAAAGATACACAAGATAATTCAAACAAATCGTCCAAAAATCCAAATGAAATTACCACAGCTCTGAGACGTTCCGCACGTCTATTAGAGTCTTCGCTATATTCAAGACGATCTTGTTCATCTTCACCCTCACCTTCTGATAGATACCCATGTTGAACAATAAAACCATCACTGTCACTCGAGTGACCAGAATCCTGAAAGCTGGAGTACCAGGAATCTCGAATTTATGATTGGCCAAAAATTTATCATCAGCAAAGACCGCGTCTCAATTAACAGATTTCAAAAGCATTTTTATTTCAAGAGAGAGCGAGCAGAAAACATCAATATATAGGCAAGGACTTAAGAAGCAAAAGGAAAAAAATGTACTTGCAAAAAACATCAGACTTTACCAACAGTAGCCATAAATTTTTTGCATGTTTTTCAGTAATAAATAAATCTAGTAGTTCAACGAAGTTTTTGTTTTTGGCAACCACAAAAATATAACTTCAGTTAATCTAAAAAGATTTCTTCATAAGTTTTACATAGATTCAATACTAATAATCACCTAATTGAAAAATACCTGGAAACATTACCTCTTCATCTTCACTCATTGTACTTTCATCGCAGTCATCACCCTCTGGAATTTCCCACTCCTCGTCTGAATCTACTTCATAATCTAATATCTATAAAATAAAAGCAAATGTTAGATATTTGCTTACAAAAATTTACCAATTTTAAAATAATCAAAAATTCTGAAGCCAGTCCTTTTTAAACCAGATACCTCCGTATCTTTAGCGAAAGGTCTCCTGCCTGTTATAACAGTGCTTCGTTTCCTCCATGTCCCATAATACGGAGGCCTCCAGTTATCATGAAATTGAAACAGCTTGGCCCGATTTAACTTTCTAAAAACCATATCAACATTTGATGCAAAAAAAAAGAGATGAATCCTTATTTCATAAGGTATATCCTCTTTTTGTTTTCTAATTTAATTTTTTTTGTAGATTCCACTACAGTTCTGTGGAGTCTCACATCTAACGGTATGGAAATAACATTCGTACAGCAGTCCTGCAAACAACTAGTATATACTATATACTAACCAACCGAATTAAGCCTGTCATTGAATCAGTCACATATTTATGCCAGGTTGTCATTCCTCAATGTCAGTTCTGTTATAGCACCAAAAAGTAAGATCTAACTTTAAAGAAAACTATACAGAATAAGAAAAACAAAAGAAAACTAACAATTTCCCGACAGTACGAGGTTTAATAGTTGACAGATACAGCCTTTCCTGTAATTGAACAATAACAATTTGTGAGCTAACTATAAAAAATAATTATAAAATAATACAAAATGAATGCGATGATCATGTAAAACATACGACTGGATGTACTTCCATCAAAAGACTGTCATGAACTTCTTTTGACAATGGCTCGCGTCGAAACAACGGTGCAAGTGACACTCCTTGTTTGCAGAAAAATGGCAAGACATTAAGCACAGATGATGTCTGCACTGTATCAAATCTCTCAAATTCTCCTTCCATCTTTCGTTTCTTATCAAAAAATGAGAGGAAACGATCCGACTCGCGTTTCTTCTTAAGTTGTACTTCCTGAAATAATGCCAGTTATACATGAATCTATAAGTCAGCCAACCTGTATTTATACAAAACCATTTCTTCAACTGAACCTCTTCCTCTCTTTTCCTCTTTTCACGTCTTTCTTCCTCTTCTTTTTTCTTTTTTTTACGCTCCTCCTCTTCTTTCTCCTTTTTTTGTTTCCTAAGTCCCTCTTCTACTCTCCGTCGCTCTTTTTTTTCTTCTTCCTCTTTTTTTCTTTCCTCCTTCCTCCGCAGATCCTCTTTACGCTTCTTTTTTTTCGCTTCTTCTTGTTCTCTTTTTAGTTTCTCCCTCTCCCTGCAATTTTAAAATTCTATTTGTATCTCCCAACTTCTTCAGTAATAAGTAATAAGCAACAAAATGTAAGCTACAAGAGGATGAAATTTAAACCCAAGTTCTTCGCCTGAATATTTGAATTATAAATACTAAGTGATGAAATGAATCAGAAAAGTCAACGAGAAAATGGTACTTCTGCGCTTCCTCCTTTTTCCGCTTTTTCTCTTTCACAGTAGCCTCGCGGTTTTTCTGAAACTGTCGGAACTTGAAAATTTCTAAATTTTTGAAAATTCGAAGTTAAAAATTTGAAAAATTATAGTTTCAAGTACAAAAGAGAAAAAATACCGTTGCAGCTACTTTTTCTTTACCACACTAAAAACTATTTTCTATCTCAACTTTCGAAGTAAAAGTTGTATTAGAATACAAACTTATTTGTTTGAAAGGAAAAAATACAAACATAAACGATGAAAACCAGCAGTTGATAATCGCCACTCAAGCAGTTAGAACTTATGAAAAACTTAGAAAGAACCAATTTAGCTCTGATCTAATTTGAAATTTGATTAAGAATGTTAAGAGAATAATCCTCTGCGCAAAGGACTCATAATACCGCCACCATTTTCTCTGCGGCAATCCTTCTCCGTTCTTTGATTCTCTTTTCTTTCTCAGCTAACTGCTTTACCATTATTTTTCGATGACAGCAGACAGATATATTTCTTTGTGCCTCTTTTTTTACAAAATCTCCAGTAATAGAATCTGTATCACTTGTTTCAAATATCTACAATACATAGATAATTCCGGTCAAAATATGCAAGAATTGTCAATTTAAGTTACTTCTATATTTTCTATGAAATCAAATCAAAAAACTCTAAAAGACGTTTTTATAACATCTGCTAACGTCCATATGCTTAAAGTCCTTGAGAAGTTCTGAAAATTCATACCTTATCGATGTTTTTTCTACTTGCAGATGAAGCTTTCCGACAATCGATCTGAAAACACTACTATAAAATATTGCAACGAGTTCTTATTTTCGAATTAGATTTGGTTACTTCACCGGACGTGGAAGTATAAAGAATAAATTGTGACAATAGAATTTTCCGAATTACGAGTGATAGCTTAACTGTGATAGATTAAAGGGAATGATTAGGTAACATCGAACTCACCTCAGACAGCTCCACTGAATTACTGGGGAATTAGTAAGGCAGCAACAGGCATTCAACATTTAATTCATTTTTAAAAGTTTTTTCCGGAAACAAGATATAAGAATAATTATTATATTCATACTTACAATATAGGCGACAGCTTCAATCACTTCGCGAACAAAATCATCAATTTCACCGACTATTACTTCATCACTGCACTGTTGTACTTCGTCTAAACATCGTTCCGCTGAATTCTTCACTTCAACTTTTTCATTTTCTTTATTATACCCGTTTATATCCATACTGCAATTATCAAATCCTTTTCAGAATGAAATAATTAAGGACAATAAATTTACAAATATTCAAGATAAAAAGTACTGCAATGGGCAACAAACCGCTCATGAAATCGTCTGACATACACGCACAGTAACAACTCACAGTTTAACAATGATTGTTGCAAAATGGGCGAATGAGAAGTGAAAGGTCAATGTAATCTAAGGACTGCGGTATCTGCCCATTTTCAGGAAGAGGTACATCCCTTCCACGACATATCGAATAGCGCTTCGCACAATTTAAATTTCAAAATGTGCTTGTAGCCCATTCATGCAGCCGAAGTGGCGCTACGAAAATGTCGATCCATGTGTTTGCAGTACCTGGTTATGAATGTAAGTGCTTTATTGGTTATTTGGAGATGTTTCATTTTAACTTCTTTCTTACCTGTTAGAGCTGCCGTATCATAGATATTGTTGATGATATACCAATATATTATGAGGAAATGAGAGGCAATTAAGTCGCAGCAAGCAAGTTAGCAATAGCTCACTTCCTTGCTGCCAGCTTCCTCACTCATTTCACCTATAGATGGAAAGCGCTTTAAACTCTCCGAATTGATCTTAAGTGGGGAACATGTATATATGTCAATATAAGCAACGCTGTTCTCATTAGATACATCGACATAAAACCAATATTATGATTTCGATTTTGGAATTCTTTTGTGATAGATGACCTCGGGTCAAGTCATGAGAACTCTCATACCACTCAGTATAAATAATAGCTATTTGCCAAGAAGTGCAGCCGAAGGCTTTCATTCCTTTCTTCTTTGTTCAAAATTGTTTCTAAAGTTGAAGAAGCTGAAAATGTTTCTTGTTGTGTGTGTGTGTGTGTGGTTTGTATGCAAATGTGTTAGGCAGTTCTTAACAATAAGAAAGAGAAGTTGTCATTTGTCCAGAAGAAAGTTTTCTAAATGTTCGCCTTTTTTCTTCACTTCTATTTCATGGAAATTTTTGAGCGAAAGTGCTAATGCATGTCACTGATATTTCCTTTAGTAGAGAAGTAGAGCGTATGAGACAGGTTGTGCTCCGATTGAATGCTATACCCGTCGCTATGTGTATCCCAGCAAACTGTCTTATGACTAATGACACAGTTCGATTTTGGCAGTCTAAAGAGAGACTTAAATTCTGAAATGGACCTCATTCTTCAGTAAAGGTAAATGAGCTGATAAAAGCTATTCAGTTACAACTATTGTCACTAATGTTTTTATCATTAATCATTCTTAAATTGAAAGCAGTACACTCTTTACGTCTATTAAGCTTAATGAAGAAACGCTTTTTTAAAGTGCAGTGAGGACTGATATAGTTTCTTGTCATTATTTATTTTAGAGAGATAATTTTAGTTATATTTTGAGACTGCTATGATTTCATTTCATTTATTTACAGTAGCAGTATCCTGTTTGAAAATGTACATTTAAATAACTCAATTCTTCCAACTTTTCAAAAATCTCATAAATTCTCTTTTGAATATATATTGATATTTGTGTTTTCGAAAAATTCTTTTCCAGGAAAGGTAATTTATTAATTTTCTGGAAAAAGCGTTTCAGTTTTCTAGATTAAAATTTTTTTTTTTTTTTTTTTTTACTTCCAAACTAATTCTTGAGTTGTGAGACCAGAATAGAATTTCTACTAAGAGTTGCATTTCTATTGCAACTGATCTTGAAAGAATTCAAACCTAACCTGATATTATCACTATCTGTTTTGTTCTCTTTTATTTATGAATGAATCTGTGTTCTTCAGACAGAATTCTGCATCAGTTGCAAAAGCTTCTTATGATTCGAAACGTTTTTAAAAAGAATGAATGAGGAAATTTCAGAATAGCCGAAAATAGTTTAATTTTACAATGGCAGAGTTGTAGTGGGAATGATTTTTCTCATATTACCTGTTGATTTATTAGGCTTTCTTTTATGAATCTTGAACTTTAAGTTCCTCCTTATTCTATTCGTTTTTGCAACTCCTATTAGAACCTGGAAATATATTGTCATCCATCCACTTGAGCTAGATAGATCAGTTTAATTAATTCATTAAGTCGTTAGTATGTTAGGTTTTGAAAGGAAATAAAATTATGATCTCTGTTTTTTATAAATAAAAACGTTTATGAAAAAAACTATTTCATTACGAATGGAGGAGTATCATCTGTTCCGAGAGTTAAATTAGACTGACATAGCTTCCTTGATCATCCAGGAGATCATGGTAACACTATGTGATGAGCCTTTAGATATTAATATAAACAAAATACCTAATCGATTAACTAACGTACAGTTAGTTTCATAATATCAAAATGACGGGACAATACACGAGAAGGTAGGGGAACAGATTACTTCAATACACGACATCAGCGCACAACACAAAAATAACCAACCGAAAGTGAGATAGACAGAAATGCTTAGGACACTGTTAGATGGGATGTAAATAACAGAACGCAATGAACCGATGGTTACGATCTAGCCGATTTGTCTGTGTGACTTTTTTCCGTTCAAATTTTGATTGTTCGATGCTCACGTCACCGACACTTTGATGTATGTCTGTATGTGCGCATATTTCTGCGCTTTATATGTTTTGTCTATCTTCCAACACCAGGTATGTATGTAATATAGTGTCGGTGTATTCATATGTGTTTGTGTGTATGTGTGCGTGTTTGTATGTGTATGTGACGATAGTAGCTATTCAAACGACGTCATCAACTAACTTCGTTGCACGCCGTGGTATTGGCGATGCTTTTTACTCCTGTCTTTTGCTTTCAAACTCGTCATTCTCAACTTCGTCGGAGATCTGGTAGGTTTATCATTCCTTTTGTGAAGCTGTTAATCGACCTTAACTATAAATTCATTTTTTGTTTCTTCACTCCACCTTTTTCTTCACTTCAGTAGCCTTGAAGTAATTTCGACTCTGTGAAGGGAATTAATTCTTTGTGAATGCTTGTTGCTCAAAGTTACCAGCAATCAGCGTAATCAGAGAGCTATCAGGCATTTTTCACGTGTTTGACAAAAATATCTTTGTCTTCACGCGAGTTATTTTTGTTGGTTTTAATGAATGAAACATTGGTTGCTATGGTATGATGTGGTTATTTTCTGTCTTGTGTAATGCAATATGGTCGACTTTGAACAGGAAAGTCCTGTTTAACTGCCCTGATAGCTCTCTGATAAACTTCATCTAATCTTGATACCAGCCTTTTTTCATTGAAGGGATTGACAGGTTGAATTTGGAAAGTTGAACTGATACATAATGCAACCATTAAGATATGATGTCGGAATGAACTAATGGAAAAGTTAGCAGATTAGCTCTTATCTTCTTCAAGTGAGTTTATTCTTGTTTGCAGTATTATTAGTTTAACTTTTATTTCTTGCGTATTCACAGAAGTTCCAAATATCTGTTGCCTGATTACTTTTATTAAATATTCTGAAAATTAGATATTGACTAAAAATTTTCCCAATTTCATTTCATTTAGTATTTGATTTTGATATCCATTATCAGTTAATTGAGGAGAAAAATGACCATTTTATGATTTATGATACAAGGATGTATTTACCCTAACCAACACCGCAGTATTATATGGATTTTCTCAGATCTTTTATAGGCAATGAAAAAACTAATAAAACCAGATCACTAAGGCCTCTCAATAATCTCTGTATATGTGCAGTATGTGTGTTTGTTTACTGCTGCTTGTCTCAGTTACGTGCGTGGCACACGAATGCGTGAGGGTTCTCATAAGCTTAACGTGATAATATCTATCAGTAGTGTGTGTATCTGTGTTTTCGTCTAAATAACTAAAATATATATGTTTGGATATATTTCTGGAGATGGGAAAAAGGCAGAGTTTTGAGTTCTTGGTAATTCTGTAAGTGAATGTGCGCTAACTGTGGAGATAGTAGAGAGGAAAAGCTGGAGTTGATTATGGTCAGCTTTTGACTTAATTAATTCAGCATTTATTGCACTTATTATCATTGTTAACTGCAATTTAATAACCCGTTGTCTATCACTGTCAGTTTTAGTATCACTTCGCTATTAACTACAGTCTTTCCTCGGAGTCTAAATGTCACCAATGCAGCTTATCAATGCTATCTTCTCGGATTTACTCGCGGATAAAATTGAGCTTGCACTAAAAATTTGTTCTCATTCTCTTCCTCTCTCTTGTTCGCAGCTCCTCTCGACATTAGCAGTCTTTTCGAACGGCTCATTTGAGGATCTTATCCTATCGAATCACATGATGTTTTATTGCTTACTGCTAATGCTCCATCATTTCTGCGTCATCGCGTATAACTTGAAGTTACCAGCTGTCTCATTCATCACATCTTAAGTTTATTTCTGCTGTGCATCCCAGCATTCACTTTTGTTGGCATGCTGAAACCGACAGAAATTGGTACATTAGCTGGTAGCACCAGTATTAAGGATAATGCTGACAACGATGACGACGATGTTGACGGCGATAGAAACAAGCAGCACACCACACAGATACACATTATCATGTTATCGGCATGCGAAACTTAGTATATTATATGTATTTCAGTGTACTAGGTATGTTGTCATCACTTTTGATTTCATGTTAGCTCTCTTTTTGAACAGCGTTATTGATAGATTCTATTTGACCTGTATGGTGAATGGTGGCAGTATTGTTTAATTTCCCCTATTCATCGTAATGATTGACTTCCTCTGTACTCTATACTCTGCCATATGATTGATTTATTTTAGTATTTATGTTGTAGTTACGTCGTGCTATTTCAGTTAATTTTGACATATCATTCATTCTGCACATATCAAAATATTGAACAGTTTACTATAGCTATTAAACTCATGTAAATGCGTCATTTTTCGGAAATTTGTTGTAGAGCAAATTGAGTGTTACATTATGCAAGTATGCTAATAGGCTCATGAGGCTGCTATGTGAAATAAATTTTAGAGGAAAAAGGAAACGGAAAAGAAATTTCAAAGCACACTAACCTTCTGGAAGAATTGACGTCACTTCCTAAGCCATTGCATGTTTGTATACTCACTGTGGCAATCATCGGAAAGGTGCAGTGATAGATATCATGCATTCCTTGATTCTGTGAGAATTCCACAATTTTTCAAATAACGGCTCATTAATTTTAATCTTGCTAATTTCAGTATTATTTTAGTGATGTTCCTCAATGGTCCATCATTTTATCTATCTCGAGGTGCTTGAATGACCCCATCTATTATGAAAAGAATCTGCATGATTGCTTATCTAATATGCTTGTTCATCTTTGCTGAAATAATAAGACTGATTAATGGAAAAGTGAGAACAGTCTATTCTTTAATTTGCAGTAATAAAAACATCACTTTTCCAACACGAATAACAGCGATTCTTTGCATAATTCGCTTCACTCAGAAATACCATCATTTAGCATATTTGTGAAACAATGTTGTCACGAATTATGAATTGTTACGATGCTATTGTAGAAAACATGTAGAGCTTTATTTTTATTCATCTTCCTATTCATTGCCAAATCCATAGCAGTTACATTGCAAACATGGCTACTTGGAACTTCAGAAAGAACATGTCACATTATTCTGCTAGAACGGGATATCTGTATTGCTTTCATATTTTTAAAAGTGAAATGAATCAATTATTTTCAAATTAAGTGACACTTATTAAGTGGGACCGTGTTGTAGCTTTCTACTGCTTCATTTTTAGGAAATGATATTTTGTTCATTCTGACGATAGAATAACAGTAATGGTAATAGCACTAGTAGTATTAGTAGTAATAATAGTAGTAGTAGTAGAAGTAGTTGTTTTGTTGTTGTTGTTGCGTTCATTGTTGGTATCATGGTTGGATTTTTTAATATCATTTAGTTGTTGTTTCTTTCAATTAAATTAAGTCACGGTTTTTAATTTATTGCTGTGAAATCTTCATTAACACAATAACTCCTAGAACTCTTTCATTTTGTTAATATGTATGTATATACAAGAATAATATTTTTGTATAACCCGTGTACTTGTCTATTTTTTTCTTATTCAAAAAGGGTACATTATTCCGCATAGATTATTCAAATTTTATATTAGTAGTGATTCTTTTAATTATCAGAAAGCCAGTTTCGAAAAATCTGTTGTTTGAGGGTGATTTCTTCGTAATCATCCATTATTTTTTATGGACATTTTATTTTTAAAGCTTTAAAGGTACCAGTTGAAGCTTTAAGGGCGTTAGCTGAGCTTGATCTTTCGTTTATATTCAATTAAATAACGATTTTCGTTCATATTCAATTAAATAACGATTTCTCTCCATTGTCAAGTTGATCACAAAATATCAGCTATATTATGAAAGAAACTAATGTATATCAATGTGAAACTTAAAAATAAGAATTATTACGTCTGGTCAAAATAATGTTATGATGAACGGGAAAGGACATAGTATGGAATTAGCATAGATGTTCGGCAGAAAGTGTGAACTGCACCGTTACAGATTAGCAGAGCAATTAATTCAAACATTGAAACCAAGCGGACTTGGATCTCTATTTTCTCCAATTACCATTGAAGTCTAGCATAAGTCATGTTCTTGAGTTGAGAATCGTTCTTTACTATATAGATGGGATTAAGAGATTTGACGACGAAGGACTGCTGAATATTTCAACAGTCGATATTTAAAAGAATCTAGACGAAGTGCAATCTTCATCTCTTCAGTAGCACTTGTTGGAGAAGTGAAGTTGCGGGGTCGTCATTATAAAAATAAGAGAACAGGAATTCGCTGTTATAAGATTTTGAGGTGGTGAAAGTGAGACAAATAACCCGGACAGTTAGGCTTGATCTTACTGCTTTAGTAACATCGTGAAAATAGCAGTGAAGACTCAAGCGATTTGGAAAATACGAACATAATCATTTCACAGCTGTTGTCCCAGCATCTTTTGTTGTAATATATGAAAGCTTCTTTCGAGCTTGATGCCAAGGGAGCATTTAATAACTGGATGATGTAAAAACATAGCGATAATGATACAATATCTTACGAGCTTGACTACTATCTGGTTAATTTAAGATTAACAGTTTATGAACAGCGGATTCGTCAGGTTGTGAATCTTATCATCAACCGTCATAGCTGTAGTGATTTTGGCTATCATGTTTTGGTTGAAGAACATCTTTATTGTTGTTAACATTGCAGAATAATACCTTTGACACTTTTATGTTGGGTGTCGGCTATGGAAAATGTGATTTATTGATTAATTCTGAGATATTTCTATCCTTTGTCTATAAAAATTAGTGTGTGTGAATATATGCCTATAAAAAGTACCACAATTTTTCATTTCTCACCTTTCTAGTCTTTTAATTTTTGTTCATTGACAATTAAAATGACCCTTGTGTTTTTTTTTTTTTTTTTCGAAATACGGTTAGCATTAGAAATATGTATGAAGTTAACTTGAACTTTTAATAGATTACCATAGGAAATGAAATGCCAATTTTGCTTTGGTTTCCCTATACCCTGAATTAATTCTGAATCAACAGTTATCAGAACAGTTGAACAGAGCTAGTGTTAAATTAAATTGCTTAAAACTTTGCAGGTGCAAGTGATAACGCAACAAGAAATCAGTGCAGCTGCTGGGTATTCTTTAATGAATTGTTACTGACAATCACTTTTCTTTCAATATATTTGAACTCTAACTAAACAGTTGCTAATTGAAAGCTTTAGCTGAAATCAATATGGGACGTAAAAAAATTCAGATTACAAGGATTCAGGATGAACGTAATCGACAGGTTTGCTTTCCATTTTTTTTCAAATTATCGAAGCATTGAGCTTGTTTATCTTAAGACTAGGCTCGTAACGGCTTGAAATCATATGGGTCATATGTCCCTAAGACACCTTTGTATCTTTTTTTGAGATATATCTATTTTGAATATTTTTGAACATCAAGCGAGAAATATTAAGTATTCAAATTCGATTAATCAAATATTCCCATTTTGTATGCTTTCAGGTAACGTTCACCAAAAGAAAATTTGGCTTAATGAAAAAGGCTTACGAACTTTCAGTGTTGTGTGACTGTGAGATAGCCCTCATTATCTTCAATTCAACCAATAAACTATTCCAATATGCTAGCACTGATATGGATAAAGTTCTTTTGAAGTATACTGAATATAATGAACCGCACGAAAGTCGAACGAATGCCGATATCATGGAAGCTTTGCAAAGGAAGGAAAGCAAATCGGGTGGAGTAGAATCGGATGAAGATTCTCCCGGTTCTTCAACCCCGAACTTACCTAATGGAACTTCATCGAGCAGTGTCGCACCAACCAATGCATCCGTTACCAGCAGTACATCTAGCATGGATTTCAACGGTGTCACCAATATAGCACAGCAGATTTTCAGCTCAAACGTATTCCTTTCACATTCGGTCGTTTCATACAATGGTTCACAAGATTCAACCGCTGCTATCTCTTCCTCTTTAAGTCGACCGCAACAAATGGAATCGATCAAAGCGCATCAGTTAGGCTTTCCCTCGACAAGTTCATTTCTGAATTATACCGATTGTTCCTCTAGTCCGCGATCTGTGGTCCCAGTAGCAGCCGGTAATAGTGGAAACTGTGCTGGTAGCCCAACTTCTTGCGAGCAACACATCAATATAGATCAGCCAACACAGAATGACACGCAACTGCAACTCACGCATTCTAAAACCCAGGGTCATTCTATGTCTTCTGATTTGAGGTTAACCTCAAGCGCCGGTACACGAAACGGTTCAGGTGACTTGAATCAAGAAGAACAGCAGCACCTTAGAGTCGGAGGCTTCAGTACTTCCTCTTGGTTAGCCGTGCAACCAAAACCTTACATCAAAGATGAGCCCAATTCACCGCCCGAAAAAAGAACACGAATCGACGGATGGCAGGCTCAGTCCATAACATGACATGAATATTCCATTAGTTGGTTGGGATTCTCATTTCAAAAGTCTTGGCCTACATTTGGTTCTTAAGTTTAAGAAAATGAATATTAATAGACATAGTTTTTTTTGCATGCTTTTTGCAAATCCATTACTTTGTATTGAGCCGATTATATCCAGATAAAACACTCAAATTCAGGAATTGAAATACTAACATATGGCAGGTTTAAAGCTGCTAAAATGTGTCCATTCAATAAATATAAGTCCTTTTCGTAACTTTCAAACTTATTCCATTGCTGTGTATTTCAAATTATCAGTAGCTGGATCGATTCCTTTTCTGAGAAGGTTAGCTTGATTTTACACTAGCTGTTTTACTTTTTTTGTAGTAGAATAATTGTTTCTACGTGTGCTTTATTCTCATCATCTTGGTATTTTTTGATTTCCTAATTCAAATTTCCATGGCCAGTCTGTCTTTGTAAATCATAAACTTTAAACAAGCCGCGAGCAATTATTCATGTTCTTCATGTAGCGTTTTTTCACCAGTTATCTTTCTAAGATGCCATTTTATGTTGAGATTTTTTAATTATAACACTATTTTCACTGGCAAAGAACATTTTTAATAGTGTAAGTAATATTTAGTTTTGATATAACACTAATTATTTATCTTTTAAATGTCTATACTCTGGAAATTTTCGGTCTGATAGGAAACCGTCACGAATTTTAAACTCTCGTCAGTTTTCTGAAACTCTTAACAAATTACATTCTTGAGCAGGAGATTATCTTTCACGCGATTCTAAATCTCAAATCCACTATATTCTCAAACTTTCTCTTCCCATCAGATAGTGCATGCGCTTCCTTTCTCTCGCAATATATTCAAAAGTTAAGAAAGCTGAACAATTCCTGTGATTTATGCATATGTTGAGGCGACTTTAAAAAATGTCAGATTTTTTAAATTTATTTGGGACCCAAATTCCAATTTTTTTCCGAAGGTGTCATCTGCATACATTGATATAATGAAAAATTCTTGCTCTACAAAGTGTGTTATTAAATTAAATATAGCATTTCGTGTAGCGAATCATTATTCGTTTGGAAAAAATTGTGAAAAGTTTTTATCCCCGTCAAAATTGATAAATACCTCCTTCTTTTCCGTTTGAAAGTTTTGATATTCAATCATGTTCACAGGGAAAGGAAGCCTGATTTGCTGATACAATCTGTTTAGTAAACTTGGATCTATAACATCGAACGGAATTAATCGGTCTCTTATAGGAACAACTGGATTAGACACTCATTCATGCTTCCCTTTAAAACAACCGTATGGAATTTCACTGAATAGCGATACTTTTTTTTATTTAATAGTTGTCCGTTTGCTTCAAATATAGTTCTACAAAGTCAGCGTTATATGTTATAAGCCGTTTTTCTGTTTTTCTAGTCATTTTATAAATGTAATATCACGGGATGTGTCTACCCAACTGATATATCGTTGTTGCCGGTGAACTCATATAAAGTACAGGTTCTAACTTATTTTTGTTTTCTTCAAATCCCTATTGTAAGGTACTGACACATTATTTCCGATGATATCTGGAGATCCCTAAAAGACCGGTACTAAGAATTCGCTGAATATTGTATTTTTAGAAAATGATTTGCATTACTCAGTTCCTCCCTTCCTGCTTACTTAATGTTTTGCTTCATAAAGCTGAATTTAGATTTCTCGAAGCAGCATAGGATGAAGAGTAGAGAATATTCCCACAGCCTTCAACGATATCCTTGCATTACTTTAAGTACCCACCTTTTAGAATAGTACATATGCCTGAAATGCTATCTGGCAATTCTTTAACTTGGAAAAAGTTAATTCCACTATTGCTTTCGTTCTGCATTGTGAATACACTCTCCGTATGAATATGCGTCCCTACTTTATTGCACTCATTATTGTATAACTGTCGATTCATTTGTAAAACATGTTTAAAAATTTCTTAAGACAGAAGCCTCAATGCTCAGCACAGAAACAAAAAGTTAATGCGAAAAGGCAGTAAAAGTGGAACAACATGGCTGTTTTTGTTTGCTTATAAAAATTCTGATTAAACCAGGCATTTTTCAGTGTATTATAGTATCGTGATCTATGTGAGAAAATTCGCGTTTGCGTTTGCCAACTAAACACTGGAAATCTGCACAATCAAGTGCGAGAAATACCTGGTTTGACCAGAATTAACATTTATCAGCAAACAAACACAAATTTGTGCACATACCTGAGTTGTTTTTGTAATAAGTGAAGACCAAATCTTCATTTAGATATACTATAATGATATTAAGTGCCAGCGAAGTCGTTTCATTTGGTATTCTTTAAAAAAGATTAATCCTAACATACAACAGTAAGGCTGAACGCGCACATATCCTTTCAGCAGCCAAACACTAAAAGTAGGCTTTTATATGCCTCTCCTCAAACCTTACAAACTTGAATAACAGGATAAAAGGAATTTAAATGTAGATGACTTTCGGAGAGGAGGTCATGGTTTACGAATTACCAAACATTACAAATACTCAGAGTATTGTCTTTAGACATCCTGCAGAAGCAAATTTTTGTGATAAAACTAAAATTATTGAATGGTTTAAATAGCACATGATAGTACATGAAAATCGATCTAAACAGATAACAAGAAAACACGGACTGACATAAGCTAAAGAGATCGACATTGCCATCTCAGAATCCTATCACTCGGTCCTTGCATGTTATTGATTAAATTTTTTGCATGAATTTAAATTGTTAATATGAAATCGGACCAGTACACTTAATTTATCTTATACAATTTGGAGATTACAATGCTCCAAGTTAATGTCGTGCTAGGAAAACATGAAGTTGACAAATCAAAAAGATCTGGGAAAAATCAACTTCGTTTCTTGTTGAAAGTCCACGAATCAAAATACCTGTCTATTTTCAAATGGTATCCCAAAATAAACATCATGAGAAAGCTTGTGATGTAAAAATCACCGAACTGTTGGACATCACAAAAACTGTTTTCGTTCATAATAATACCAAGGTCACATGTTGAGGAGTAAAGATAACATAATATTTTTAAAATAACATTTTCACATTTCATTTTTCTTCTCTGCGGCTCTCTATATGTACAAAAGAATATCCACATTAGATAGATGATGAAATGAATTCTTTATGAAATAAATCTCTAAATTCTGAATGTGACTAGTATTCGTACAGACTAACATCAGCTTTTACGTTAAACTTGTCTGCTTAAGTAAGTTCCATGAAATAGTTCAACCAAAATCATAAAAATATTTCCATAAATTATAATGAATGCTAGACCTCCACATAAATAATACCTACTTCCAAAAATATTGTTCGCATGGAGCTACCAGTAGCAACAAGAACAATTTGCTTAACTCTTAAATCAAGTCTCCTTTCTGATTCATCTTATTACAGTGAAGGGAATGAAAAGGATAAAAGTATCATACATTCACTTCATTGAAATTACATTATAAAAAGTATTCCCTTATAAGCATACAAAATTATATAACTATAGCGCATGATTATGAAAACAAAAAAGACTGTATTTGAAGAGTTAGCTCAGATGAGCTAAAGATTCCTAGAGACATACTCAAACATTAAAGTAGAAAAGAAATGGTAATCATATAGGTTGAAGCTGTTCCTTCCAGAGGTAAATTGTGGACGAAATATTCTGCAAGCAAAATTCCAAGTGAATTTACAAGAGGTCGAAACAGATTCAATCAATCCACATAAGTTATTAAATCAACTACGATGAGTATCCAGGAAAATTGGGTGTATTTGTTGACTGCTGGATATTTGCCATAAACTGTCGTAGTTCTTCAACAATTAAACGGGTAGTAAAGTCTTGTTGATAATAAGGATACGATTGTTCGAAAGAATGGAAGTAATCGGCATTACTAGTACCTGTTACTACAGTATCAGGTGGTGGTGGTACCAATGATATCGCAGGATTTGTAAAATATGGCATCGACTGATTCGGATGCCGCGATTGCTGTCGCTGTAGGCGGCGCATGATAGAACGAGTCGCACTCACCTGAGTAGAACCTCCAACTACTGCTGCTGCTGTGCCAGCTGCTGATGCCGAGGATGTGGACGCGGCCACTAATGTATTACTGCTGAACGATAACGGTGGGGAGGGTATGGAAGATGTCTGACATGTGTGCGGTGATAAGTCCACTGGATCACTGTCATCAAGATCGATGCATACAACCGAAGGAGTGATGACGTTCCGCCCTTGAGTTCTGCTCATAGAACTTTGCGATGGCAGTTGTTGTAGAATCTAAAAATTTGAAAAGTTGTTTTATCTAGTCAAACCCATCACTGCCTAATAATAAGCAAAATGTATAAGCAAAGTGTATAATGAATAAGCAAAATGTATAATGAATAAGAAAAATGAAGAAAGCGAACTCCATCTCGACAGGAACACCATATACCAGGAAAGGAAAATCAAAACTAACACTAAAAGGGCTCAATAATGTTAGGAGCTGTAATAATGTTAGCAACAAATGTTAGAAGAAAGGCTTCCAATGTCAAGAACTGAAAAAAGCATTGAACCTCCTCATCATCGTCACTGTCTAGAATTATGACATCATCATCTACAACTGCACTTATTCGGTTACTATTGTGTAGTACATTGCTCTTAGCATTTTCAGGATGACTTTTCGAATTGTTCGAAGGGTTTATATCTTCCTCGTTATCCGAAACAGATTTATCCTCCTCATCAATTGGGCGCCAACTACCATCATGCAACAATTCAACTTCTGTGATGCTCGAAGTTGTATCTTTCAGAACTCTTTCAAAATAGCTGAAATCTGTACAAATTCCAATCCAAGCATTAAAAATCCTTATAAAAATTAGAATAAATGCCGAAAGAAGTAAATAAAGTAAGTTCGGTACAATTAATATCTTTTTCCTATTATCTAAATGCGCTCAAATAGGATATTTAAGCAGTTCAATAAGAACTGATCGAATCAGAAAAAAAAAAAAAACATTTTCGGTCGTCGAATCTAATATGTATAATCTGATAAAAAAATAGCATACTCATCAATAATTAATTTTTTGTAAGGTGCACCATTATTACAAACGGCACACTTCCAAGTTGGTCGTTTTTCATTCATCTTCAAAAAATTTGATAAATCGAAACACTGTAAGTGTGTACAATCATATGCCTTAACCGGTATTAGCATTCGCGTTTTTCCAAGCTGTAAAAAATCCATAGAAAGACCCATTGCTTTTTTGATAGACAGTATAATGTGGATAACGTAGCTGTAGTTGATGGACAGTAAAAAAAAGATTCATAAAAATTTAAAAGAAACAGATGTTTTCCTGATGAAATCAGAAAAACATTATAATTAGCGATTATAATCATGCCAAGATCATCTTGATCAAATGTAGTTGTTAACAGAAAAAATATACTCACAGGGCACAATAAAGATATTCTCAACGTTTCCATTTGTATTGCATCATCGTCGCTAGACAAACGATTTCTAATCATACGTCTTGTTTCTTCAGCATCACGATGAGTAGATAGATTAGCCAGTAGACGTTGACTGAAAATGAAAAAAATTATAAATCTTCTGCTTCCTTATTCTCCTTCTCTCAAATTATATTTTCTAAATAGTGAGAAAAATTAAAAATCATTTACATTTAGACGATCAAGTGTTGGCTTTCGAAAGTCTGATATATCCAAAATGAAAATAGTAAAGCAGAAATCTCACAGCAATATCTCGGAGGTAAGTCTTTTCACGACATAAATACCGACTGCCCAAGAACGTTCATCTGCAGACCACTCTATCACCAATCGATGCGGCCGCATTGCATCGCGTGGTGGTTGACAGTAAGGGGTTATGTTCACCGGACGACTCGGCCTTTTTGGTTCCGCATATGGTTTATTCGTTGGAATAATATTCTGCAGAAAAAAGCCAAATTTATGAAGCTAAATGCATACTTTAACTGTGTCAAACACTAAAATGGATGAGAACCAATTATGCAACTTATCACTCTTGTAAAAATATTCAGATTTATGAGAGTCCCTTAAAAAAAAAAGGCAGCTGAATAACTAAGATTTCACATTTACCGGGAGAGTGACCGGAACATCGTCTATCTTTGCATTGCAGTTGGGTGGGAAATCATCGTGTTGTTCAGCGGAATGATCCAACAAAAAAAATCGTAGTTGTAGCTCAGTACGGGGTAAGACGATAGATTCATTTCTGGAATATGTAATTAAAGCACAGCGCCAACGTAATAAAAAGAAAAGAGGGATCTAATAAATCTTTTTTTTTCTTCAATTATGAAATAATGATTAAACTAACCTGTAAGCAATTTGTGGCATAATGTTCGGTGGGATAGCAAATGTAATTGCAAAACGAGACGTAGACCGAATACCCGATATATTTGCCGGTAATTCAGAAAGTTCAAGTAAAGTTTGTTGCTGCAGAAAACAGCTGTTTTAAATATAATAACGGAAAAATCATGTAAGTGCTAAACTGAGGAAAATCTGGGAAAATCCCAATTAAGAAGTTAAAACATGAGACGAACTTTATCATAAAATGGTAAATCAGCAATGTTCAGACTTCTAGTCTGAACCATTTGTGATGAAAATGGATTATGAGCACTGATATACTGTTGTTGCATCAGTGCTGATGATAATGTCATTACAGGATTGTAACCGTTCATGACACCGTTACCATCCATATGATTATATATGGGTACCGAAGGTGCACTTGACGCACTATAACGTCGACTGGAACTAATTTCGCGAATCTTCTGTACTACTGCAGCTTGATTACGAGCGTTTTGTAGCAAATTAATGCACCTGAAATGTATTTCATCAAATAATGCATTCTTATCGCAGTTCTTCGCCACCAAAATGAAGATCTAATGAACTCTTAAAATGATGAATGATTAGTCTCCGTCAATAATGCAAGCTCTAAAATAATTACCAGATTTTCTATGACGTTAGGAAAAATTATGACGAAAAAACTCACCGTTGTACAAGTTCTGTTTTTTTTCCTAATTTCGGACACTTGAATGACGACAGCAGAATATGAAGCTCGTTCACACGGAATTGTTGTAATGATGCCTACAAAATAAAACTGTTTCTAATGCAAAAGCGGAGTTACCAAAAAAACCAAGTTTTCACGGTACATTCGTAAGAATAATGAATTCTATGATCCTAAAACAATTTACAGTTATTAGCTTAAAATTAGGAGTAGTAATACAGATGTTTTTGACTAAAAATGTGAATGGTAATGAATTATAGGAATACGACTAATGTTTTTAACAAATCTATTAATCAAAACATTATTGAAAATCCTGCCTTACAAATCTATAATATAATTCCCGATATTCTTTGGAAACTGTAATTTCTCTACCATCTAAATTAGTGACGGTTTTAATATCCAAATCTCAATACGTTTCTAGTTCATCTAATTAACATTACTTACTCAAATTATATAAATTATATATATATATCATCGGTCTTCACTACTTTTTATATCTTAATCAGAACTTGGTAAAATTTTGCTGAGACCAGAAACAGCTGATTTAATTATAATTAAAGTAAGGTTAAGGAAACAAACTAGTCAGGATTCAGGGAACATATCCACTGGACGTAGACCATTAATGTTGTGCTGTTGCACATAAAGGCCGACACTGGGATCACAATGACTCTGCGACCAGTGAAACTTAACCACGATGATGGCAATACCGAAGCTGGGCATAGGAGACGTATAAGGATCTAAGACAACCTCGTAATGTTTCCCTAGTGGTGATGTTTAATTTTTCAATTTTGTATTTTGCTTAAATCTTTGAGATCAGCATTTCTTAGCATTAGCATTTCGGAAATAACTTAACAATGAACTACTTATGTGAGGTGAGAATCTCATCATCTAGTCTTAACAAAAGAAAAAGATAAAGATTATATATTGATCATGATCTCTAGATACCATCCCCAACATACAACAGATAATATGCAACAGTTCGAACAGAGAGACGAAAACAAACATCGCTACACGTAGTTGGTGAAAAGGTCATTTTATCTCTTCTTATTCCAAACTTTGCTTTTCTCTTTATCTGACATATCTTCGTCGCCCACAACATGTTGCAGCGAAATATACTCTTGTGATGAGAAAAAAAAAATTCCCAATATTTTCTTAATAGAATTCTTCCTCTAAATTCAAAAAAGACAACATTCAGTAGGCTATAAAAGATGGATATCTATCCATCCTTTTACATCCTGTTCATCACTAATTTTCAGCCTTTTTAATGATGGCTCTTTTGCTGGTCAAAGTAGGTAGCAGATCATTTAACATGTATACATCATGCCTGCTAGCAAACCATACCATTTCATCTATGCACACGTCCCGAAGTTGGTTTTGTTCCTTTTCGAATAAAAATAAAGATGGCAAAAAGTGTATCAAACTTACTTCCAGTGCTTCGAGTTCAGCTCTATTGGCTGCAGCCATAATCCATTGAATGCTGACGACAAAATTCTTCAGCTGGAAAAAACATCAAAAACGCTTTTCACAATCCACGAAACAATGCGTCCTACCTTACCTCTTTCACTAGTTCATTAATTAATTGAACTTCCTGCAGTCATTTCATATAAGTGGAATTATTCGCTTCGTACATACACTTTAGGCCTGATTTCCCAATTAAGTTCATTCGCCATTTAAGTGATGAGGTTAAATGACAAGGATTGTAATCAAGTTGATAGCGTATTATGTGCGAAAAAATAAAACAGGGAACAGTTTTCGCAATAAAAATTAATCGACAGTTACAAGCAATATTCCCATTGCAGAATATGCACATATTTGTTAGTTTCATACATCGCTACTTTAATGTAGCGTACTTTAGAAATTCATCGTGCTTGTTTATACCAAAATATATAACCATCACAAATAGTTATTAATATAGTTACTAAAATATTACTGTTCGGAATCTTGAACACTTAGAGATGGATATGAATACCTCACTTTATCTCCTCAAAGAACTTCAAAATCTCTTTAAGAAAAGCGAGAAGCAACTGATTAAGTGTACTTTATTTTAATTCTAACCAGCCGCATTATTCTAACAGCCCATAATAAGGACAATGTAATGCGCCGAAACCAATCGCAATTAGGAAATTACTCAATAAGTTTCATTCATAAGTAAAGGACTTTTAAAGAGAAAAGATATAAGGGGACTAAACATCATAGCAGTGAAAGTCAACGAATACAGGAGATTCTGTGAAATTCTAATTAGCTCTTGCACCAGTCTTTTTCACTAAAAAATTAATACTGGAAGACCTCACAGAAAAGAAAGAATCGACAGATAAATATAAAAAAATACTACCAATGCATTCCGTTTCGCAATACATATATAGTACATCTAGAATACAACCACCATGCAATATCCGAAAATTACCCAGAAATCCCACAAGAAAGGAAAATAAAAGCGAAAAAACGACCATATCGGCTGAGGAGACATAAACGTCACGGAGTATTTACTATCTCCGCAACATCCTAACATCCTTGCCTTTATAGGAATTCAGATGGAATACAGTTATCGCGGACATTCAAGTCGACAGGTCAATGACCTTTCCTTCTTATTAAATAAACACTTTCTGCTAATGTTTTATTTACAGCCTTATCACAAAACCAAAACAAATGTCATAAACAATTTTTATAAAAGTTGAAGGGATGTCATTCTTCCTAGTTATCAACTTGATAACGCCTAAAATAACACGTACAAATATAGATATAAGTAATAGGACCATTTAAAAGTTGCAAATTTTTACGTGCGAGCATGACTACATGCAACAAAAAAAAACAAAAAAGCAATATAGTTAAGAATTATCAGGATAATCCATTATGGAGAAAATCCATAACAAAGAAGAAAGAATAATCCATAGATCAAAGAAAAGATCCACTTAACGTTAATATACAATCACTAAATTTAACTACAAACTTCTGCAAAAAAAGCTTTCAATTGCTAGAAAAGATAGAAGAAAAGATCCAGGAAGCCTGGCACATAAAAACTATCTTCTGTGCCACATTAAACTCTCTCGTTTCCGCTTAATTTTCTTTTGCAATTGTAGCACGCCGTACAACAATGCCTCTGCTGATGGCGGACATCCAGGAACATAGATATCCACAGGAATAATTCGATCGACACCTTTCAACACTGAATATGAATAGTGATAATAACCACCACCATTTGCACATGAGCCCATACTGATTACCCATTTTGGCTCAGGCATCTGGTCATAAACGCGTCGAACTGCCGGAGCCATTTTATTAGTTACTGTGCCAGCGACTATCATAACATCTGACTGAAAAAGGGACTGTTTAAGAATGCAACTGCATTTTTAAAAGCCATAACAGTATGCTTGCTTGAAACCTACATGTTATTTCTGCAAATCATTTAGCTACACAAATGAATAACCATGCATAATATGAAATAGCGAACCTGTCTAGGAGATGCACGAAAAACGACACCAAAACGATCCATATCATATCGCGGAGCAGCAAAATGCATCATTTCAACAGCACAGCATGCCAATCCAAAAGTCATTGGCCAAAGCGAGCACCGATGAATCATATTATTTAAATCATCCAAACGAGTTACAGCCATTTCGCCTTTTGGCAAAGGATCTTGCCATGGTGAGCCTATTATTCCCCAGATCCCCTGAAAATAATGGCCTTGAAATACCGAAATAAACTGTTACACTAGACAACCTATAATTTATCACGCTCGATGGAAATAACCTTTGGCCTGGTCCCCTTCTCAGCTGGTGCCATCGGACTTGTTGGTCCTATTGCCTTGCTTGATTTCGATCGAATTGGGCATGTAATCTTTGCAAACGCTTGTCTTAAATTAAAAAACACCTCAGCATTGGTAGCCATTTGCATAGTTGAACCTGAAATGAAAAATAACAGCTCAAAAAAGTATGTTGAAATTCTTGCAGGCGGCATTCCAAAACCTCTCAAACAGAAACGTCAAAGTGATTAATCCAGATAGTCGGGTTATCCTTGTTAAAATGTTTAAATAGAACGATTTCAAAATAATAAAACACTAAAATGTGGCTTTTCACAATTTCCGAGTAATATATTGGCTCTATAGCACACCCACCCATCCTCCGTATTATTACCCCCTTCCCTGTAAAAATTACCCAGGTAGAATAAGAGGTTCCACTCTGTTTGAGGTAGTTTTATACCCAATCTTCAAGTTTATATTTCAAGCACTAAGTTGGGAAACGCAAGTAATAAAGAAAGTACCCACTTCGTGACAATCCAAAACCTACTCCTTACCTGAGTCTTCTCCTTTGCTCTTAGAAGTGACAAATACCTGCAAATTATGGGAGCATTCCAGACCAATTATCAATTTCACATATCGTGAATGAAATGTTTAAGTATAATTCTGGCTGGCCGTGAAATATCTACAGGAAAACGCAGCACCTCAGGTTTATAATTGGGTGTGTTCTGGGAGATGTGGTAGCACATGTGGTGTCCGAGGTTGACGAGTAGTTGAGCTGTTGGACTGGGTGTGCTGGCACTTTTTATACTTTATATAAGAGAATGTTTGTATTGAAGGACTGGAAGCAATGAAGAGAAAGCAAAGTGGTAGTGCTGGTCAGTACAGCAAAAAGAAACGTCCATTTTCAAGAAAAGCAAGGAAAAGCTATGTAAGTTTAGTTCTCTATGTGTTGTTGGTCACTTTTACGCATACTTCCAACTTTTTTGCCTTTTACAAGTATTCTGCCATTATTGTATTTGGTGAGAGCTGATAAAATCATCTTGTGTGTTGGAATATTTTATTACATTAATAGGGTTTTCTGGCATGAACTCTGTACATAAAACTACAAGATGTCAGCAGGTCAGCATATTAACTTCATTTCTTCCATATTAAATCTCTAGTCTTTTGGATATCTTGATATATGCTTGTTTATAATGATATAAAACACAGAACCAAGTTGTTTTCATTTGTTTCACATCTAAAATGTTCTGTATTCTGTTTGAGAGAACATTCAGCAAATGCATTTGTAGACAAGTTTAGGTCACTCGATACAAAATTTCTCGATTCATTTGAATTTGCAGAGTATTACTGACTTTGAAAAGCATGAGGAAATGAATCGGAAATCAAGGGAAGAAACAGAACGGAAGTTGTTGAAAGAACCTCATTCAATGGTCATTCATAGGGGAAAAGTTGGACAGTTTGTGCGTTCTCTGGAACAGGATGTGCGTATTATCATGGAACCTTTTACTGCGTCGAAGCTTAAAGTAAGCATATTTCTTTTCAATTTATTGAATAAAATTACTTTTCGATTTATTAGGTAGAATTAAATAGGATTTTTATATAAGAAAGTTTTTTGGCAAAGACAAATTCTTTTTTGAAATCGATTATAAAAAACGTATTTTACGCCATAAAAATAGCAGCGAGGGTGATTACCATTTAGAAAAGAAGGTACCTTCTCTAATATTTTGACTCTTCAGAGGGATCAAGCTGTTACGTTACTTGAAGGTAGCTTATAACCTGAAAAAGAGCCGATTGGAGTTTTAAGATAACAGAATAGGAAGATTTCTTTGCTCATTTAATAGAAAGCAAAAAGTTGAGTTTCTAGTCTTAGCTTCAAGAAGTTTTATTCCTATTGTTTCCTACATTTAAGGTTATGAAACGAAACAATCTAAAAGATTTCATCGTAAACGGTGCAGTTCTTGGCGTTACGCATTTGCTTGTGTTAACTCGTGGGGAAAATTGGATAACGCTAAGAATTATTCGATCTTGTCAGGGACCAACATTGACCTTTCGAGGTAAAATTGAGTGCCTTTTTATGATTTTTTTCTAGAAAATAGTATTTTGAACAGTGTTTATTCAACTACTATTGTTCTTTATTGTAAAGCGCACTGTTGTAGAACCATCAACTACCTTTGGAAAATTTTTTGTTTCTGAATTTGAATGAATATCAGTATAAGTGTAAGGTTTTGCATACAACAGCATGAACATACATTTTATTCATACATTTTAATTTTTGTTAGCTAAAATTATTGGAAATTATAGTCAAAGACAAATTCTAAATTTTTCAAAATCTAATGATTGCAATTAGCATTTCATATCCTTTCCACCATATCGTTTTTAGTCGTTTTAGACTTATAATGAAAGAACACTATTGCAGTGAAAGAATATACATTAGCAAGGCATATTATTTCGGCATCAAAACGCAAAATGTATTTTCAACGATTATTCACTACGGCTCCACTTGTTGTGATGAGTGGTTTCAACTCAAATTGCGGTCAACATTTACGACTTGTACAGTCTTTATTCCAGAACATGTTCCCTACAGTAAATGTTGATACGGTCCGTTCTGTTTTAATTTTCTATGAATTTCTTAAGGTAGTTAAAATCTTTAAGAGCAACGAACTCCCTTTATATGAATTAGCTGAAAGGTGCTTTGAGAGAATATCATTTAATGATTCTATCGTTAAATAAAGTTTTAAAGTTACATATAAATGATAGTGTAGGTTCTTGCTCTTGCGCAGACCGAGTGTTTAAAATCTATATTTTTTTTTTTTTTAGGTGGATTTGTCTACTATTCGACGTTGTATGCTGATCAATTACAATGTTGGCGATGATACTCTCCAACTGCGACATTAGTATGCTTCGTTCCTATAATCAGCCCATTTTCTCAAGTATTTTGCCTTCTCAAATTTTTTTAGCGCGATCAAGGCAGTTCCTGCAGGACTAAGCAAACCGACTAAAAAGCTAATTCAAAGCAAGATTCCGGACTTATCGAAATATAAGGATATCGAAGACTACTTTACAAAGTATGTTTTGTGAGGGAAATTTTTATTTGGAATCTAAAGAATTTACCGGAAAATTTTTCAAAGATGTAGATGAAATTCTGGTATTACGAGTTGTTCTTTTTAGCCCAGGTCAGATGAGCGAAAGTGAATATGAGTTTGAACAGAAAGAGGTCAAATTACCGCAACATCTAACAACACGAGGATGCTTGGAGGGACAAAAAACAAGCATAAGGTAATTAGTTTTCCATTATTTAATATTCTATTCATTTTTTTTTTTTTCACCCTTACAGGAGCCTTTGGTTTATCTAATATTGAAATATGTGCACATCGATTTTAAATTAACTGCTTCCAGACTTTATGAGCTTGGTCCTCGTCTGACATTACAATTAACGAAAATCGAAGAAGGTGTCGATGAGGGCGAAGTTCTTTATCATTCCTACATCGTCAAATCTCCTAAGGAACTGATTCAGTTAAGAAAAGAACTGCCGAAAAAAAAGTTGTTAATTCTATTTCATTATGCAGTGAGCATAAAAATAGTTTCTGTTATGAAGTCATTCTATTTATTTGAGGTAGATAGATTAAAGCAGGAACTTACTGAGTCTAAATCACTATTGGTCATTGTTAAGGTGCTAACAAATTTCCGTAATTTCCGTCAATGTTCAGGAAGTTGAAAAAGAAGATGCAAATAAAAAATGAACGACGAATCATCTGTCGCATGAAAGCTGTAAGTGAAAGGAAATCCAAATTAGAGGAATCCCTAAAGGAAGAAAAGAAGAAATTAATAAGAAAACAGAAAGAAATTACTGGTGACCAATTCGATGATCGATCTACGACCCATGCGCATGATTAATTATGACGGTCTTTCTCGCTTTTTGACATGTGCTGTTTTGGTGAGTCAAGCATTGATGGTTTGTTTTTATTAAACGGTTGTCGATTTGTTTAATTCATAAATGAAATTTAGTGGGAGGATTATGGCAACAGTTTATTCCTTTTGTTTATATATAAAGGGCATATCTTGCTTTTCCTGCACTGAGTGTTGAAGTTACGGGTGATTCTTCTAACAATACTTTTTTCTTTTTTTTTTTTTAGGAATTGTTTGAACAAAATTATGCTTAAAGAGGATTAAGTGTCACCCTTTTTAAATCTTAAATAGTCTTAAAAAGACTAGCAAGTATAACACTTAGGTCTGTAAAATTATTGAAATTTCTCTTTTGTCTGGAAGACGACGGCCATGCTCACTTTTCGGTTGAATTTAGAAGACATGTTAAATTATGAGTCTTGATCAATTTTTCCCGATTTTTTTGTGCTTTTGTTTTTTCAGTATTAGGTTCTGTTATTTTCAATGACAAAATTTGATGTAGTGAATGTTGCTAGAGGATGCAGAAAATCGATGATCAGATTGACACGTGATGAAGCTACCCACTTTTTGACTAGTTTATCTATACGGGTATTAACTTTTAAAGAATTAAAAATACAGCTCAGCACAATCATGTTTCATGCATACATGAATTGAAGCTACACAAAAAAGTAAGCAACAATGTATCACAACCTCAAAGTCGAGGCAGATTCTTTAAAAGAAGTTCCAAATTTTAGGCATTCTCGTCAGATTGGTTCTTAAAATTTTAGGCATTCTCGTCAGATTGGTTCTTAAAATATTCAAGATATGTTGTAAAATCTGGTAGTTATTGAAGGACATAGTCTGTCAATCAGATTATATGCCTGCAAGAAGCTAGGAGACCCACGAAGCTTCCGAATAATTAAGAAATGTATAATCGTCGATGCTTAAAGCTACAGAATGCAAAGAACCTGATCTACCAATCGTAATTTATATACATTTGAAATGCCAGAGTTCCTTCTACACGGCATATAATCCCTAACAAGTAAATTAAGTCTGTCACAAAAAAAGCATTCAAAGGAAAGTACCGTTTAAGAATCATAACACTTCAAAATAATAACATTTTAGGATCATGTATTCTAGAATGAGATTTTTAAATAAGTAAACTCACATCTTCCGATGTTTAAAAACCGAGAAATTCATCCTTTAACATTTCTAAAAACAGATTTTACAATTATAGTCATTACTCTCAACAGTTTTTAAGCTCTCCAAATTAATCTCCAAATTCTTTTAAAACTTTAAAGAAATAAAGAAGTTAATCAAACTCGAGAAGTTATAAGTCCCATTTTGTGGAGGTGGTAATGTTTGGATGACCCTGCCTTCTGTAGATCATGCACCTTGCAAACTCTAAGCCGTCTGCATTCTATCCGAATACCAGTTTCTTCGTCATTCAGTAATTTTTAGTCTTTCTAAACAGCAACTCAAATCAATCATTGCACGACTTTTGATCTGATCTGAAGAATTTAGATTTGAAAAAAATGGAGATCAAAAACGACTGTAGTGTACAAATGTAGTTTATTACTGTAATCAAAGAACAATGTATCGATTAGCATCAGTCATGAATTAGCAGCCATCAATCTGGCTTTAGCACATTCCGGACAAAGAATGTCGGCAGCATCTGTTATAAAGCCTTTTCCAACTAGTGATGCCGAACACTGGGCGCAGATAAAACAATCGTTATGCCAATGTCGATCTTCGAATGAAATAAATTTGGCACCTCCAATTCCTAAAAGTTCAATATGGAGTATTTCTGTTTCGATTATTATTCTTCCTTCCTTTGTCATTATTTCTTCCTATGTGCTTTTCATTTATCCTCAAGAAAAAAAAAAGTGTCAGTGTGTTAAAGTAAACAGGGTCCTTTAGGTTTTGAGACCAAAATCTTACTTGTGGGAATTGCATATAGATGAAAAAAAAAAAAAAAAAAAAGTAGCTGAAGCAATAGATTTTGATAAGAAAAGTGGCTGTAGGCTCACATAGATAAGTAAGTTAAGTAATGAGTAAGGCTTTGGTATACGTGGATAATTATATATAGAGATAAAATTGAAAATAATAGAAAGAACACCTGTAATTGGTTTAACGCAAGCATTGCACCGCTTGGCGAATAATTCACCGTAACAATTAGCACAGTATGGTTTCTCGTCTTTTGACGTGAATCTTTGACCAGCTAAGGACGTATTACAATTTGTACAGCAGAAACATTCTCGATGCCATGGCTCATTTTTGTATGTTACACCACCAGTGCTTATTACCTAAAGTTAAAGTGCTCATTTGCCGTTATTCACATAATAAGGACTTCGCTATCACTGAAATATAATTATTTACCAGTGGGAGAGCAGGAAAATTTTCTATTCTTAAATACTTCAAATTATTTCTATTTATGTAAATTTATGCAAGCATTGCTTTTGCTAATTAATTTAATGATTACAGTTTGAGGAGGTTAATGAATGGTAAAAGGAAGGAAAGGACTTGCATACCTTTTTACATTTACAACACCTTGTTGCGAATTTTTCTTCATAGCAAGATGCACAATAAACTTCATCGTTTTTAGGTATGAAACTTTTAGTACCGATTGGTGTTTTGCATAATGCACAACAAAAACATTTATCATGCCATTGCTTACCTTTATATTCCATTTTTTTCATTCCTGCAAGAGTGAAATGATCATGTTTAGAAGACAGTATCATATCATCACCACCCACTGGCACTACTTGACAAACTACAGCAATCTTATCATAATATTCCATCAGTTTGCAATGAGTGCTAAGTTACTTTTGTCGTACTATTATTACTGACTGCTACTATTTACTACTAAGTTATCAGTAGAAACCCAACAAAAGTATGATTGTTGTTGAAAAGATGAACATGAAGATATACCGGCACGAAATATTTCACCACAACCATCACAGCGTGTTGCAAATGCTTGGTCATAACAATTGGAACAGAAAATTCGATCATTTTTACTGCCAAATGGCTTATCAACAAGTGAGATTTTGCACATATTGCATAAGAAACAATCCTCGTGCCAATGTTTGTCTCTGTATGATAGATCCTAAATTTTATCATTATCACCAATACTTATGATCTGTGAGCTTCTGAATCAGCCACGACAATGACAGAGCTCTCTGTGCCATTGAACAAATCATCAGTATAAAATATCGAATTACCTTAGAATCGATACCAATTGCTTTGGCGCATTCGTCACAGGTATTGGCAAAAATGTCTTCATAGCACTTGATGCAATACGGATGCTCGTCTCGGAGAATGTACCGTTGACCGGTGAGAGTATTATCACATTGCCAGCAGCAAAAATGATCACTATGCCAGTCCTTATTCATAGCCTTTGTATATTCACCGGCAAATATTAACTGCAACATATTTTTCGCACGGTAAACTAATTGAATAGATTACCGAAAAATTTTATTTTGACCAACATAAGTGAGTATCGATATCATAAAGATTGCATATGCTTTTGGTAATTCCAAAATCTCAAAGTTTGAAACTTAAGAAGATCCGTAAACAGGATTAAGTTGTTAGATCCTGACATACCGAAATGATAAGGGAATGTATTTAATTTAAGAGATTCTTAGCTGAAATTTTAGTCATAACAAGAAGCTTAATTAATTTTAACTAATATAATTAAATGTTAATATAACTACTCAGCAAAAGGAAGAAAAGGCTAGGTAAATGGTTCGTTTAACTTCCAAAACATAAGATCAAGATATAAAATTAAAAATAAAATATAAAGTTAAACAAAATATTTAGATATTCTAAGTAATTTTATCCGTGGCGGAAAAAAATATCTGAATCAAGAAAAAATTTGAAAAAAGTTTTCTCTGAGGAAGCTTTTTTGGGATTATAACATAGAACCAGAAAAAGGACAGCTGCTTACAATCTCGAATTTACTGCTTCACATCTAAATAGCAATAAGTTTAGGGTCAAAGAGTAATTTCTTCAGTCCAATTGATATATGGTGAAATTAACATCCTTTTAAAAGAAAAAATAATTTACATAATCTCAAAAAAACCGTTATAAGAGTCGTAAGATATGACAACAAATGACAAAGAAGTGAACTATTTTATCAAAAGCTCTATCAATTTACTAGATTTAATCCATTTGCTGTTAACTGCAACTTAAACTTTATACATTTCAATAATTAAACCGCTTTTCCAAATATTAAATGAAGGAATTAATGTTGCAGAAAACATTTGATCTAAATTAAAAAAAAAAAAAAAAAAAACAAATTGCTCCAATCTCAGATGAACAAGGATTCTGGTGTAATGAATCAAAAAAAATGTTTATGAGTGGCATAAAAGGTTAATTACTCTGAAATTATTGCATTTTTTGAAAAACACTCCTCAATCCAAGCTACGTGTAGCATTAATCCCATCATACGTTTTTGAAAATGATTTAAAATCTAGATACCTCAAAATTCAAGACAGGGTTAGCTCTGTTATATCATCTTCTATAGCGGATATTAGAGTGAATGCTATATCACACATTGATAACGATCAGTTCTAGGCTCATTTCAAAAAAGAGAGACAAGAGAAATAATAGTCAAGCTAGACATTTCAATTCCTCGTCAAAATTGCAATTTTATAGTGAGTAGAGTGAGACATTTGCTAGCTCATTTCGAACTTAAATTACCTTAAGGAAAAATTCACAGAAAGAGATAATTTATAGCCCTGAAGAAGAAGGAGAAAATGCAAAAGCAGTGGCATGAATTATTGAGACAAAACACAGCATACAGGATAATAATGTAAATATCACTTATCAACTGAGACAAAAACTTAATAGTAAAACAGGAACACCTACCTGGAATCCGAAGAAGTAGTTATTTATAGGTCAGTATGCGGACGTGGAACATGAAAATCGAAAAAGATGAAATGGAAAAAAAAAGAATGAAAGGTGTTTAGTAGCGCTTCGAGCCAAATGTTGTTCATTTCTTGACTTTCTTAAATCATTGAAAAATATCTTTTCTAGAAGACATCTTTTTTTAGAAAGATTGAAATTGGGAAAAAATGAGAGTAGCACTACAATAAGAATCCTTGGTTAAATACATTAACTCTTAAAGCATAGTTTAAATTTTGTACTAAACAGAAAAATCTAAAACGTCTGACAGATCAATTTGCCTTCCCTGTTCCTCTATCTCCTTTTGACTCTTTTCTATCTCTCTTAGTAGATAATCATGGGTTAATTAATAGAAGCAAATGTCAGGAGCGCAATGCGAAGTTTTGCAAAGCGAACAGCTGGTCCCAGCATTGTTGATATCAAAACAAACAGTGTTTCAGGAATATGATTAAAACAAGACGAAGTGACAGTGGCTACATTCATAAGTGATAGATATCATACCAGTTGCATGCCCAGCCTTCATTCCACACAGAATTTGCAAACTTTTTTCATGAGAACGGTTGACTTGAAGATGAGCCATATTACATTCTTCTTTATCTAATAGCACACCATATCAGTTCCATGAGCTTTCAATTCAATGGCTCATAATAATTTGGCTTAGAAAGAGAAATGTTTCGGAAATAGCGATAATGACTTAATTTCCCTGAAACTGTGATAATAAAGTAATTTCTCCTCAAAATCTGAATACAAACTAAACTGCATCACTCAACTGGTCAGAAGTAATACGTTTTATAAATAAAAAATAGGATAAAAGTTGGAATTTCATTGCAGGAAATGGAAGAAAAAGTGACATTTTATCTGTGGTCATTTATTTACTAATAAAATTGACTTTTAGTTGCAACTTTAGATAGAAAGTTTGAAATTGTCAATTTGGAGACTTTCTCACTCAATTGTCATGCAGCAGTAGTTATATCAGAGTCTAAATTCAAATGTTTTCTGTTAATTCTGGACTCTGATCTCCCGCTAAAATCACTTCGTTGAAGTAAATGTCAACTGGTAGAGCAAGGATTATTTGAAATGATAAATGAAGAAAAACATAGAAGAAAAATCAAAAACTGAAAAGAAAAAAAAAGTGTCAAGAAGAAACAAACTAATTTGGTGATAACTTGAGAACCTTAAAACGAAATGAATTCTGCAACCAAAAAAAAAAAAAACTACATAAATAAGGAAAAAAGAATATCCAAAAAAAAAAAGACCTGAAAAAAAAATGAGAAATGATGCGAAATTATTCAAGCAGAGAAAATATATATTATAGAAACAAATATCTTTCACATTTTTCCATTTCAACCCTTGCTTTGCAGCAAAGTCTGAAACTCACAACAAGTTCATTTGTCATATAATTATAGATTAATGATCCATGCTTAAGAGAAGAAAACTTAATAATTAATTGATTTGCAGATTTTTGTCTTCATGTATTATACCCAATCTTTTTAAATAATTTCACTGAGTTTAGAAATTTAACTAAATTATGTGGAATTAAAATCTTCATAAATCCATTTATGAAGATTGTACTACGTATGAACAGGTATTGGAAACTGTAGAGATATTAATTGGCATTTGATAAGATTTTTGTGTACTTTAAAGTCCCAGATTTAAAACACTAAATAATAAATGGGGAATTCTGGCTAAGTGCCATAGAGAATGCTAGATGACGAAAGAAAGATAAGAAAACAACTTTAGCATTCACTTCATTAGCCATGAGGTCACAGATATTCATTCAAGTGTAAAGCATCGTTCGTAACAAGCCATGATTTCTGTGATCACACTGTACATGATTTGCTAACAATGCAATTTGCATCTGCTCTCCGTCACTTTTTTAATCTGATTGCTTTTTCTCCAAATTTTTTTTTAACCAAATGTGAAGGAAAAATCAAAAAGCTTAAGATAGTCTTAGTAAGTAACTGATCCAAATTTTTGTCTTCAAGTATTACATCATATGCAATTATTTAAAAGTGATTTCTTCAGCGTTTGAGATTGTAAGAAAGAAAATGCATAATAGACAGAAGTGAGTGAAAATTATTTGGATGGAAAAAAAAATAGAAAAAGTATATGTGATAAGATTGAATTCACAACAACGTCAACAGTGAATCCATTTTATGCTGGATGGAAATGTTCGTAGTGCGCCGTTCCGCTCCAGCCGAGACATTTCCACCTTAATCACATTAGAAGATGTGTAATGCTGAAAGTTAACAACCATCAGTCCACTCCATACGTTCCATTCTTCCATCCCTCATTCTATTAGTTTTAACTTTCGAGATTGCATAAAATGTGATGGAAAGAGCAAAAAAAAAAGTATCGGCTGAGTATGGCATTCAATAATTCATTCATTCAAATATTCCAGAATGATATTTCATCAAAAATTAATCAGCTTATCATTTCAAAGAGGAAGCTTAAGGGAGAAGAAAAAGAGCATTTAGCTGTTACACAAGAAACTTCAATTCTGATTCGTTTCAGAAGAATTTTCCGGTAAAGAGGGAAAAGGATGCGCCGGATGGATATGATAAGATTATAATGGTAAAAGAGCAAATGCCTCGTTTTAAGCTAGTCAGCTAGCTTACTCTGACAGATAGGAAGAAAAGAAAGAGATGAATTGGTTACATCGACACATCCCACATCGAAAACAGTACTATTGAAAAGGAAGAATTTATGGATGGATGGATGATAGGATATCGCATCCTGCAGCAGTTTCTCTTCCTGCTTCTTGGCTTTTTATTTTTGTGTGGGCAATTTTCAAACATAGTTCCAGTCCACTTCTCATCTCTCATTTCACTTCACTTTTAACACACACACATATATATATATATATATATACACGCATCTATGTGTCTTATCTTTCCAATTAACCACTAATTATAGAGGATCTGATCAGTCTGTTAAGATTCAACAATACATAATTTAACTTCATTTCTAATTGATCGTTCATCAATTAAACTGCTTTTTTAAGACCTTTTATACAGAGGAATCAAATTCCTATTCCATTTATATAATTTTTTTTTTGAATTCTGTAAGAAGAAATTTACAGAAAAAAAGAACATATAATTTGATTTCAGTTAATTTATACGACTTAACGATTTCTACTTTCCGTGTTGTCAAGAATTATTGATATATTGTGTTGATTTTCAATACCTAATTTTATTTTCGTCCTATCTTAAATATTTACAATTTTTTAGAATTTTCAAGATCGATCATTAATCATTGATTATCAGTCATTTCCGATTGCAATAAAATCTCCAAATGCATTTTATCATTAAAATCTGCAACTATGAAAAAAAATCTGAGTCTCACCACATTCCTTTGCATCTCAGTAAAACACAATTTAGATTCTTAATTATTACTTATGAACAAGATATACAGTTTAAATTTTCACTATTGGTTTATTCCAGAAATCTTCATATAGAATTGGAAGAAAAGCGGTAATGGCTTGAGATATTTTAGATGGAACACTTATAAAACAATTAAAAAACTACCAGTGAACAAAAAATTACATACTTGATAAACTAATAATAGATAATATTATTTTAATGCAACCAAAACCAAAATAAAACTTAATAAGACATAACCATATCTATTCCAAAATTTTTAACACTAAAAAAACAACTAAATCAAAACTCTTTTCTAAAATACAAAATATAAAAAAATATAATGAAATTAAAGAAAAAAAAAATATAATAAAAAAAGAAAAAAAAAAAACAGAATTACCAAGGAATAAGGCCTTTGATTAAGAGTCAAGAACTCTAATTTAAAATAATCCCTTTAAACATAAACATAGCAAAAATTATGAATCTCACAAATTCTCACATCTCACAAACTAAAAGATCATTCGGAATATCTTACAAGTGAATTTATAACTTATGAACTGAACAAATCATTCAACACGGTAGTGCTGTAAGAAGAGTGTGATATAGCGCAGAATGCTTCAGGATAAAGTGATCTGTTTCATTTTTTCTTGTCATTACGAAGATTGGTGACAGACAGAATAGCTCATGGTATATAAATGTAAATTAGTTCCGTGAATCATTTAAAGTATTCACAATTCTGTATTTTACTAGGCAGTGGAATAAAGAATTAACGGGTCCAATTTTGAGGTTGGAATTCGAAGTGTAACAAAATAAATGTTTATCAGGAAATTTCTATACAAAGATGATGATCGATAATAACTTTTCATTCTTAATCTTAGCCAACAAATCAAGAATAATAAAATTTGGAGCATTTTGTCTAAACCTTTTATTGCAGCAATCATTAAGCATAACCTAAATAATAGAGAGAGAGAGAGAGATGAAGGCTTATAAGACCACAGTAAAGCTATCACATAATTAATTATTTTCTTGCGATTTTATCCCTTACGATTTTTTATTTTTCCTGTTAAAGTTAAAAAGATGTTCTAATAAGTTCATTTGATAAATAAAATGTATAGCAGCTTAACTAATGTTTGAAATTGACCATTGTAACGACATCATAGTGAGATAAGTATTTTCATAATTGATGACGTAAGGTATCAAGTAATAAGAAAGTATCAACACGATAGGCTTATTTTATTGCAGTGATCTGCAACCCATTCCCATGTAATTTTGGAGAAACTTGATCTTTGCAGGGAATAGTGCATCGCTAGGGATTTGTGAATCGCTATTTTTATGAAATGAAAAAACAAAAAGCTAAAAGAAGTCAAGAGAATGAACAGAGAAGATTTCCTCATTTCGTTATGAGAGATCTTAAACTGAACTGCATTAATTTTTTGCCCTTCATGAGATTTTATGAATGCTGCAAATGCTTCTATGAAATATTAATGCTGAGAATCCAGGTGATTGCTGCTGTTTATTGGAATTGGGTGGAATAATCAGGCTAGATCTAATCATGGTTTAAGGGATAACTGGAGATAATATAAATACGGTTAATAACAGCAAGGAGATGAAGAGAAACTGAGAAAGAAGTTGAAAACAAAGACGACGCCTAGTTAAGTCTGCCAAGCAATAGGCCAGCCCAATCCAATTTTTGGGTTACTGCTGTAAAAGATAAATCAAGGAGAAAAATCAAAGTGCTTGATGGCCTAGAATACTAGACAATTATAACAGAGGCATTCCATCATAGCAAACCTTTAAGAAAGAAGAGAATAAAGCAAAATTGAGGACAAGAAGTATAAAATAATGCGAGGAGAAGACAGAGTATGATTTCACTCTCGACAATAGTTTTAAGCAAATGTATCACTATATCCATGCATTTATCCACACAGATGGTTATGTAACAGCATATCAGCGCTTTAGATGTAAATAAAACTAATCAGGCCTACCCTGTCCTACCCTAAGCCAATCACATCACTCAGCTAAGTTGCTTCCATTGTCAGCTTCCTGCTCGAAACCAGCAATTACTTGGATTCTGAACTAAAGTTAACTTTATTGTCTGCTTAGCATATTCTCTTAAATTATACTGCAGAAGTTAAATAGGACCTTCTTATCTGTTTTAAAGCAAGGAAGAACACGTGAAAGAATGTGAAGAACAGAACATCTGGACGTATGATATGGTAGCGCAATTGGAACTGAAGCAATCCTTAAGCGCTAATGTTTGATGACAAAGAGAAATGTTGGAATTTGTAATTATAATCAATTCTTAACATCAATTCACTGCAAAGAGTGCTATTCTAAAACCAATTATACAAATATCTCTGGCTTCAAATAAGCTTAAAAGAAGGTGTTTTCTTCACTTACTTATTTTTGTAAACTAATGTTAAATGAAATTTCGGAAGTCAAGCAAACCTTTTAGTAAAATCGACTCAAAAATTTAACCACAAGAAAAGAAGTTCCATGAAAATTTCTTGGCATGAAGTTGATCAGTTAGGCAACTAAAATCCGTTATGAGATATAAACAAGTCTCGAAAATGAATGGTTAAGAAAGCAGGGCCAAGTTTAGAACTGAAATAATGTTTTCTTCTAAAACTTTCTCATATATTACCCATTGTTATATCTTTTTTATATTTCATGAATAAAAGGTCAGAAAGATCAGAAAATTTTATAAATGTAAAAATTGTCAGAAATAGAAATACGCAAAGTAAGAAATTAAGAAAAAGATGAAAGATTTAAACAATCAAAATCTTTAAATTCCTCTATAACAACAGAAAAGCATATTCATTAACAGAAAACATTGACTAGTATCATAGATTTTATAATTTACAACTTGCAGTCATCCAAAATAAACTCTGCATCTTCACCTCTCTTCCAATACTTTAAAATTCCGAACTCTCCGAACAGTTGTGCGAACCAAGAAGAAGTGCATACGAACAAGCTAACTCATTGACCTCGATTTCAAAAATTTTTATCCCAATTGTTGAAATCAGTATCAGTACAATTTTGAAGGCCTAAAATTGGTGAATAAACAAAAGATACCTACCTCATCACAGGCATTACAGCGCGGCTTATGAAGTTCAGCGTAATGTCGTTCACAATAGATAATGCCGTCCTTAACACAATATGTCAAATCGATCAAAAGCTGAAATTATGCTAATGATATAAAGAAAAATTTTGAGTAGAAGTATTTCAACATATTTATTTTTTTTCAAAATCGGTTTTAAGAAATTCCAGAAGAATCTTTCAGTTCAGGAGGCCTTCTTATCGTTTGTTTTTGTTTTTCCTAAATCATGGGCTAGTACTCCAGTTTTAAATCTAAGTATTTTGACAAATCTTTACAAGCGGTCATCTTTCATATAGAAGGATTAATTTATGCGCAATAAAGATAAGCATAACTGTGGAAAGTGATGATCATATCCGTCAAGAAAATAAAGCTGTTAATTTTAAGTGATTTAACAACTGGAGTTGCAGCACAAATTTCAATACCTGCTCACACGTAGCACACGTGAAGCAAGCCGGATGCCAACCGCTGCTTTCACCTAGTTTTGGCGCTATTACAGCCATTTCGTTCCTTTCCAATACACCACGGCATTTCTTACACTCCTGCATTCACAATACTTTAAATTTAAATTTCTATTGATTCCTTGTAATATTATAAGAAAAAGAAGAAAATAAACATATTTAATCTGTGACTGGATTTTAATTATTTTTTTAAAAAAAAGTCTTTGCAATTTATTTATTCTTGAATTCAAAAGCAATCAATTTGACAAAGTAAAGAAAGTTAAGGTTGATATTTTCTGTAGCGAAAACTGATAAAGACGAGAATCGATTATGTGATTCGTGAAAACTATTCGTTCTCTGAAGTGAGAATAAGAGCACATATGTGACCGATGTGCACTAAAATGGAGTTTTGAAAGTTTACTAGGGCATCTCTCTTTTCATCATTCCTTATTGAGATGTAGATTACATAATACTTCTTTAAGTTTCAAGTCTTAATTGTTCAGTAAAACAAAATGCCAATTACTACTTCTTTTCATCTCTTTATATTCCTTTGGGATAAGGAATCATTGCTTTTGATTCTAATTTCGAATATTGCACATCGAAATATGAAAATCTTGCAGATAAAGCAAGTTATCAAGAGAAATAAGGAAAAAATGCGCAACTAGGCCTTATTTGCCGTGTAAAATATATTTTGCATACGTGCTCGGGTTTCTGTGTATTAATGAGCAATTACATCATTAACAAGAAAAGGACCATTTGATTTGGAATGACTGGACAGACGAAACCAATATCCAAGGCGATTTCATTTCGTGCATTGATAAATTCTTCATAAAGTTTTCTTTCAACATTATTTGAAAGGTGCTTACAATAAGCCAATGACAGGTCCTGTCGTGGTAACTAAAATGACGAATAATTTGCATTATCCGCATTGGATGGCAATTACTTAAGACATATATTTCAAATATTTGTAAGCACGTGTACGTGAATAAGGAGAAATCAAAGAGTTAAATAGAAACACATATGATTAACCTGCAACATGAGCTGCTTTTCGCGAAACTTCTCACCATTACTATTCACCCGTGGGACCACATGATTTGGTAATTGTGACATATATTCTTCCACCTCAAATATTAGGAAGGGTTGCTTACTAAAATTCTTTCTCTCATCTCTTACAATTCATAACTTTTCTTACAATTAGCATTTTCAGGAATGAAATGAAGCTTTAACGTAAACCTTAAGACGAGTGAGTCCTGGTGGCACCCACGAATAGCCATGACTGATAGAACCGGGAGCATCAGTACGACCAGTACTTTGTGCCACTGCGATTGATGACATTTTTACTGAAATTATGTACCAGTAGTGATAGAAGAATAATGCCAAGCGCAAAATGATACCAAATTGTCGTTATATAAAGTGCTGAAGAGAATGGCAATGTATGCATATAGTGATAAAATCAATGCATAATAACAGACAGATTAAGACCATTAAGTAAAGTAGAAAAATGTTTCTGGAAAGTATTAACAGTTTTAATTTACTTCTCAAGCATTAAAACACAATGACAATGACTGCTTCTGCTTCAAAGCCGACATATTTTGAAGTAATTAAGATAGTTTAATAACCAATAACCTATGCCAAGCTCATCAGTTTGATAATTCATGCCCTTTTTGACCTGTAAGCAAGTCGTAGATTTATTGAATTAATAAATTTAGAAGGGTGGAAAGATTTTGTCAAAAAGCACACACACACACACACACACACAAATATCACATACACTCACACTTAGATAATATACTCAAATTCAGTATAGCAATCGATAGTATTTCTGGCAAACTGAAAGAAAAAAAAATATCATACGTTGTGGTAGCGAGATTCCGATACGTTTAGAGGCAGTAAAGTTGCGACTACGTGAAGCCGTTTCGTGGTCAGTACGATCGCACTTGCAATGAGCGCAGACTTTCCTGAAACAGACGTCAGTGTTAGTTTTGTTGTTTATCTTCAATACATTTGAGATGGGAAAATACCGTCAAAGTAAATTGTTCATGTGCTTGGTTTCTTGAAGACTCTCAGGGAAGCAAATATATTGCGTCAATGAGGGGTCATGACACGGAGAAGAAATGCTTTCCCAGAAAGGAGACTTTTAAAGCAATATTATTTGAATTTAATCTTAATTCAGAAAAAAAGATTGCCAAAAATGGAATTAGAAACTTAAAACTATAAAAATTAATGCCATATAAAAATGCTAATTTGAGAATTTCATTCGAAAAATTTTAAATTCCACGTTCATATAAATTATTGTTTTTAAACTACAAAAAATTTTAACGTTATTTAAATACTGCTTTTAGGAAATGATTACGGGCAAAAATTACTTGCAATATTAGTATTATGAATTTTACAGATTCTCAACAAAGATAACTATATTAATTGTCCGCTTCATCTTCTATTTCTAAAATGAACTTAAAGTCTCTAACTCTGAAAAATATTGCACCTACTTTTTCTTATCTGAGCCATAAAATTTTATTTGCAACTAAATTTCCTAAAAAAATAAAAAAACAGGAAGATTGTGAGATCTGATTGGAAGCAGTTTCATTAATTCGGGCAGAATTAATGAATCGTTGCTAAGGTCTTCTACTTACTAGTGAGCAAAAAAACCATTTTATAGCATTTAGTTAGCACAGTGAGAAACAAAATGTATTTACTATGGAATTACTGACGTCGAAGTATGATAACTATGGTGGTATAAATCATTCGCTTATTTATTAATGTATTAAATTAGTCACAGGATACATTTTGTCAGTGAAATGCACAAATTTAAAATCTAGGAAATGACTCATAAGTTTTCTGAATGTATAAATTAAATATTTTTCCAGTTCTCTAACAATTTGACAAGTTAATTTATTGGTTAAAGTTTTATTACATAAAAATTTTTTAATATTTGATTTACTATTTCTAAAACAGCTGAAAATAAGAAACTAATCGGGAAATTTCAAAGTCATTAGATTTTAATCCAGTATGGGTCAATCCAATTTTAGGAAAACATGTTTGGACTTGATGATTTGTACATCAATTTGAGCATAAATATCGACATAGACTTCACACTGACTTTGGGCTTCAGTTCGAAGACATGAATTACAATCGTGATAAAATTTTAAATTCTGTGCTTCCAATAAAAATTTATATCCACTAATGGTTCCATCAAGCAGATGTCTTTTTTCAGAAAAGAGATCAAATTGAACATTAATTAGATAGAAGTCGGAATTTAAAATTCACAAATATCGTTGGAATTATTTCATTTAAATAAAAAGATGAGCTAAAATGAGGAATTTTTGGAAACATTGCAATTTTCATCAGAGTTTCAGTAGAAGCAAAAAAAAAAAAAAAAAGAATAAGTTTCAAGAAAAACAAAAATGAGCGTAAATGTGGACATCTCAACAGTACTAAACTTCAAATCAGTTTTAGCATATTATTAGCGCAGATGGAAACCAATTATACAGATAGCTCGAACTGCTTTAAAGTGATGATCCATCTTTGAAATATATCCTATCACAGTCTCATCTCTTATAGCTTACTACGCCATTGCTAGTACTGCAGCTATTAAAATGCATCATTTCCCATCATTTTTTTAATTTAACGCTGTCCTATTATGGCGTTTTCCAGAAATTTTCAATCACTCCAAAAATTCTCTTTGCTAATTAAATTCGAACGCAAGCCAATACCTATTTTAATCAACAAAAAGAATTAAGCTGAAGATATGAAAATGCCTCGAAGCACTGAAATGTCATTACCGTTTTCATAGTGATGCTTGAAAAAGTATCAGGCGTAGTTTCAACCGAGAAAATCATTTATTCCAGAATCAAAATTATTTCGTTATCATGTGGAAGTTTTTGAGAGGAATGAGAATATAAGGAATTTTCCAAAGACTCATGGAAAAGGACAAAGCAAACATACACAGCAATGTCGGAAAACATCAACAGTAAATTCGCGAATAGCACCGATAACTGAGGACGACAACTGGATTTTAAGGCAAGGAAAAACACGTGAAAGAAGTTGAAGAATAGAACATCTGGACGTATGATGTGGTAGCGCAATCGGAACTGAAGCAATCCTCAAGCGCTAATGTCTGATGGCAAAAGGAAATGTTGCAATATGTAAGTGGTGTTCCGAGTATTGCTGCTGCTGCTCCTGCTGCTTTTTATAATAACAATCAGAATTTCAAGACAACGTAATAGCCAGATGTTGCTGCTGTCACTGTAACCGTTGTTTAATTAGCGTTGAAAATGCAGTTGAAGATACTTTGGGTAATTCGAAACGATGCTCAGCTTCAAAGTTTATATTGTGAGTTCGATTAAATGCCTCTTTTGGCAAAGATTGAATGTACCTAAAGACTCATATTTTAAAAAGATTTAATGCAGTTCAGAAGCAACGAATTAACAGAGTTTTGATATTAATAAGAGGAATTAGAGTTTTTTTGCTGGTGATGAATTAGAAGCAAATAGATTGTGAATGTCATCAGTCCAAAAATGTCCCTCAAAAATTTATGCTCTATCAAAACTTCCAAAGATGGATTAATTGCTTATGAAGAAGAGAGTACGAACAATACTCAGCTTTCTCCAAATTTCAAAAATCATTCCAATACATATTTATATGTGCCATCGTACTATATCAGTAGACATCCCTATGTATGAAAAAAATAGCTTTGGCTAAGACTGAAGTTTTGAAAACATGAAAGAAAGGAGTCTGAGGGCACTTGGACTGATAGGAAGAAGCCACACAATATATGAGCAATAAAGCATTAAATCAATTTCAGCACTGTGCTAGCAAAAAGTACACTAATTTTTAGGCTCTTCCCTCTAACCTATCTTGGACTTCGGAACCTTTCGTAAAATTATCAACTGACATCCAATACTGGATTAAGGAAGAGATGGAATTTATTCCTTAGAACAAAAAGATCATTTTTAGATCTCAATTAAAATTTTAATCCAGGTGTTCAAATTAAACCTAATACCAGCAATATGCTTCATTTCCTATTTTTTTTTTTTTTTTTTTTCACACTTTAAATCTGCTTTTAACTAAAATTTTTGTTTTAACAAAAAGAGAATAATTTGAAAGCTTATTTTCAATATTCGACATATTCAATCAATACTCGAATTTTTTATATTTGAATTGAAGTCATTACATTTGAAAGTAGTTGCATAATATCCAAATGCATGCTCGAATCTTAAATCCATAAGATCATTTGAGCAAAAAGTGAATATACAAGAGAATAAGCAAAGTGCATTTAATTGAATTGAAAATGTACTATCAATCTATCTACCTTGCTGTCAAAAGATCTAAAACTGTCCAGATCGTAGCTTTCGATCAAATGAGAAGAATCAGCAATAAATATATGAAAAGCTCAAAGCAGTTAATCTTCAGAAAGTAATGCTGCATTTTCTTGACAAACAATTGAGAAACAACCCGTAATTATGCATCAAGTGATTCCAATAGGAAGCAATAAATTTAATTAGCAAGCAGAAGAAATAAACTGATTGTTAGGTAGGAAATATTTCTTCGATACCAAAATGTTATACTACTTTTATCAATATGTATAAAAAGGTTTCAAACTTTAGATTCTGAAGAAGTTGTTTGGATTTAGGAAAAGGAAAACTGAGTGCTTGGAATTCTTAATCATTCCTTTGAGTAGAAATAGCTTTAAGGATTTAAAATATTAGTAAATGCTTTTGCATAAACTAGTCTCAAAGTTATTATGTATGAAGCGATTAAGTGTAAACTACTGAATATCTATTGTTATATTAACTACAAAGGAATAGGCCAGAAACAAAATTCATTACTTTACGAGCAAACCATTTTTTTTATTCCACTTACCTATTGAGAAAATTAAACCAAAATAATTTTTTCATATTCCATGCAATCGGCAAGAAATTAAAATCAAACTGATTCTTTAAAAATTCACTTTTTAATCATTGGTTTAACTTTAATTTAAGTTATTTAAAAGTACAAACTGTTTCAGTAAATGACTTCACAATCAAATGCTAAATTTTTTAGCCAAATCTTTTTCTGAGCCAAAACTTATCAGAGATACATACAACAATAGGAAATCATCAAGAACCTCACAAAAATATGCAAAGCAATAAGAACTCTACTAATATGATAGCGGATGGTGGTTTGTTTACATTAGTGTCCTTTCAGAGAGGTCCTTATTTTGGTATTGTTCCTATGTCAATAAATGTTGAAAAGAGAAGAAAGAAAAGAGTATAAGATTAGCGTTCTAGGAACTTTGATTAGCTTGGCTCTTGCTTTCAATTACGGGTAGAGGCATTGATTTTGCGCAGTTACACACCCTTCTTGGCTCATACCAAGCTTAGTAACCAATCAGTTGGTTAACATATTGCTTAATTTCCACTTACATTTGGTGCTCTTAACTTCGAATCTTTCTGCATTTGATGTTACATTTGAAAATCTGAATTTCAAATGTTGTTAATTTACTTTGTAAATTTGTGTAGCACCACACAATTCACATTTCTTTTTTTTTAAATCTCAAAAACAAGAGAAATCAAAATTTTTACAATAAAATAATGATTTTGATAAGTAAGGAAAGATTCCAGAAATGTGATTGAAATAAAAATGTTACATTTTCATAAAAATACACAAAAAGCTAATAGGACTAAGCAACTTTGAAGTTTTTGCGAAATTAATTTAACTAACACATTCATTTCAGAATCAAAGTCAAGGTAAAACAATTGATTTTATTAATGCAAAGTTGAAAAATTGAGTTAATGAAATCAATTAAGTCTAGTAGTACTAGATACAAAATATAAAGTTTTTGATGTTGACCTTATTTATCTTTTCATCTGGTTGTTTAGGAAGTAACATTAAATAGACTAGTCGATGTATTATTGGAAACTGGACTGGGACGACGATTATTGCTGATTCGGGAAATAGAAATAAAGAACTGACCTCCAAGGATGTGGTTTAAAACCAGTGCATTTGCAGTTTAGCGATAAGCAAGGCCTTCCCAAATCAACATCTTCATCACAAGCGCTATACTTTAGCATTGTCTTGTAATGTTCTGATGATATGTCCTGCAAAAATATTAGTTATTAGCAGTTTAAAATTTGCAAAATTTAAGAGGGGAGAAGGGCCCAATTGAGAGTGAAATGGGAAAGATGGTTGGAGAGGATGAGAGATATTCAAATATTTCAGTTGTAGGCGACAAGCCGTCTTTCCTGTCATGCGGAAGTTGTCTTTGTCATGTCATATAACCAGTCCGTCCAGATCTTTCATTTTCTGCTTTAATATCACTCCATTGATCTCCGTTTTTCCAACCGTAATGTTTTGTGTAATTTTCCTCAAATCTTCAATCCTTACCTCTTTGTTCATCAGCACCTTTTTTGAGTCACTGTGGTTATCTTGTAACTTCAAAACAATTTACACAATTTATCAAAATGTTCATTAATCTTTCAGATATGAACAAGATACTTCAATTAAATCAAAATGATTTTTGTCATAAATCTAGAGAATGAAACAACGCTACTATTTTTGGCTTCCGGAAATTCTTAAGAGTGATAATATAACAATGATAGTAAAGCACATGTGAGAAGCTAACTGATGATAATCACCACAACCTATTATTATCTGTCCACTAGAGAAGACAAATTTAATTGTAGAAGCTCTGAATTCGAGAAGATAGCTATTTCTGTATTCGTTTTGCATGCATCATTTACTTCTCTGATCATTCACTGTAGTTTCCTTCTCTGATAATCAAATAATTTGAACAACTGCTGTTCCTAAAATTTCATTTAAAAAAGAATTTGCAAACTACAAAGATAGTCTTCAAAATGTAAGTTAGAGAGAAAACTGCGAACTTCAATAGACCGACCCCTCAGACCAAACAGCGTCTGCTCATCCCATCTCAACATCTTCGGTTAACGGTGTGTTCATCCCTTCATAATTATCATTTTGAAACTAAGTTTATCTAATTAACCAATAAATTGAAATCTTTTACACCAAAAACTGATCTCGGCTAGTGTTTTAAAATATGACATTTCATTATATTAAATTTGTTAAACCATTAAATTTGGAAATCAAATTTTGACTTAATATTTCGTTTATCCAAAATATTTACTTCCTTAATGGCGAAGGATAACTAAGTTTCAGTCGCAAGAAGCAAAGAAGTATGATGGAGTAGAATTCTCTTCTACCAACAAAAACCAGCAATTTATCTAATATTTTCAAATTGAAATTTCCAGCAAAGAAATTTAGGAAGAACTAATTTACCCTCTCGCAATCCAACTCTTCTCATCAATATGTAGGTAAAGTCAACTTCTTCATTATCTTTTTTAAATCACCAAAAAAATTGACTAATTGACTATTGAAACTATTGAAGTACGTGCATATTCTATCAATAAATTTCTTCAGAAATTACAATTTCGCTTAATCGAATTGAAACCACAAGGGATATATAATGAAGGAGAAAATGAAATTTTTCAAATTTTCAAAAGTATTCATAGGAAATTTTGATGTTCGACATAAACCGAGAAAATGCTCTTGCATTAAATTTCCGTAATCTTTGTTTCCAATTGATAGCTCTCACTTTTCAAATTTTACCAAAGATTTTCCATTTGAAAATTAAGAGTTGAAAAAGATGTAAAATTTATTCTAATCCAATACATAGCTTTTTAGAAAAGACATTAAGAGAGCAACACAAAATAGTTAGGACTTGGTTGAACATAAGTTTAGATGGAAAGCGAAAAGACCTATAAGAGTTAAACTTAGAATTACAAAGGGTTTAAAATAAATGATTTCAAGTTCTTTCATTTATACTCCACTGATAAAGACATCAAATATATGCATTTCTATCTCATATATTAATCTGTATTACATGTTAAAATTGAAAACGATAAGGCTACTTCTAGAGAAAAAGTAAAAAAAAAATTAATTACATTAATTGCATGGAATTGATTGTTAAGTGTCGAAGCATTACGATTTACATATGATCTAACTATGGCCATCTTGTTGTCACCTTTCGAGAGATTCTATATCCTCAAATGTGAAATGATATGTGAGACTAGGAATAGTTGTCATCATTTGATTTAGGAATGAATGAAGAAAGCCATAATGATGAATGGATGCAAGGGAATGAAATCTGTTCACAAAACAAAGCTAATAAAGTAGTAGCAATAATTTAAATGTTAACATTGAGGAAAAAGAATTAAAATATGCAAAATCCGAAATAGTTGTGTAAATTCCACGATGACAAAAGCAATTTTATGTCAATCAGATATAAATAAATGTTATAATATTGATATTTTGGTTTTTCTAATATCAAAGTAACAAGTGACATTGTAACCTCGCATCTAAGATACTCCTTTAACTCCCCCCTAATTCTTTCCTGAGGTTTAATTAATGCTGCATTGAAATGCCAGATTATTGCTTTCTTGATTCAAATTATCTCGCCTTAATTTTTTGCTTGAGTTCTGTTCTTGCTTTTAACCGGAACAAGACTTTAACTATAGTGATGATTAAGACCGGAAAGCGAAGGGATGGAAATAAATGTTTCACTATAAGCAGCATCACATGACCTCAACTATTATTGCTACAAAGCTCAATTATCGACTACATAAGCGATTTCTAAATAATATGGAAGAATAATGATCTACAATGGAAATTATTCCTTCCTCCGTCAAGAAGTGGCACTTTGTTTCTTCCATAATGAATGTAGTGAGTTCGGAAAAGAAGCACAATTTAGAAATGCAAAAAACTTTTGCCATCCTCTACCTTCTGAAGTGAAAATAAACTATGATAAAATATAAGACGTAGTGATAAGCATGAGTTAAGACAGTTATCATTCCTGCACCTTAAAATAAAATATTACACAGTTTGATTACAACCAATTTGAATCCAATTTAAAAAAGCAACAATTTTGCATGTGATATACTTTGCTTAGTCGTCAGAACATTTAACAGTTAATTGATGGATTCTACAAGTAACTGCATGGGAAATATATTCTGCTGAAACGAATAAGAATTGGTAACTCAGTCAGTAGCACTATTACAATTATCTGATCAGTTATGAAGACTGGTATATTAGCAAATCAATAGCAATAATCTGGTACAGAGTAAGTGATCATCTTTGCTGTTACGTCAAAAGATATATTCGACAGGACTGATGTACAAAATTACAGAAGTAAAGAATTGCTTCGAGAAGTCATTATCATTAATTGCAAAGAAGAAAGAAAAGACAACAAACCGGACTTTGAGTTGGAAGTTAGCTATTTGTAAAGTGCTATTCGGGGAGGAATCGAATCTCAGTAGAAATATAAGACAACTATTTAAATGACAAATTATTCTTCCAGTTGGAAAATAACTTCGTTTTTGCTTCAACCAAAAGATAGTCAATTCATTCCCTCTGCGACACAGCCGAATTGTCATCAACGTTGGAGTATCAAGAAGTGATACTGCATGAAGGAATGTTTCAGAGCAACAGCTGGTTACTAATTCGATCAATTTTTATCTCATCTAATATTAACTTTAAGTTATTTCTTCCCTGATAACTGAAGCTGAAATGTAACTAGAGACATCTTTTGTAAATGACAAAATTTCACTGTTTGAATTCACCAATCAGACTGTAAGAATATCAAGCAATAATATTCTGTATATTCTTAACAAATTTATCCAACGGACTTTGCAAGCAATATTTAATGAGCTTTGGGAAAATTTCTTCAGAATGTCAAATGAAGTTATTACCGTCTTTAAGATTAACCTTACTGTATGAGTAAATACAAAGGAAAAATGTATTTCATTAGAGTCTAATTGAAGTCGTCATGTTGTTTCATTTTTAGAACTCAAAACTTTGTTCAATACTAATCGATCAATACTAAAATGATGTAATTGGCATACCGTCTTGATGAAATCATCGTGTTCTAAGGAAGTAATCTTGACAATTCTGTCAGCCAAGCATATTTCCGGTCGATATTTCGCATTCTCATGATGATCTATGCGGCAGTATTCAACCAGACTACCCTCTTGAATTTCGCCATCTTTCTCTTCCAAATACTGCAGTAGACTTTTTTCAAATTACGTACGTCATATTTTATCAGTTAAATCGTTCCACTTGGTTCACTTTATTTCGATGACCAAATTGAATCGCTGTGCATTTGAAGGATAAATGCCCATGAATTTCAAGGCAAGAACGCTTTAAAATATTCAGTTCCGTTGAAATGAATTATGACCTAGTTGATCAAACTAAAATATGAGTCTAATCAACTAGAATCGGTGTGCAGCCAAGTCTGAATGTGTGAAAGTTAACAAAACGTTTCAGAGGAATCCGGAAAAAGTTGTGAAAAATTGTGAACACCTGATCAGTAACGTCGGTGATTTTCATGATATGTTTATCAGCGTCTGAACTGCTGTTACTACTGCTTTTGTTGTTGTTGCTGTACGGATGAACCGTTGCTAACATTGTCATACTATCTGCTTTCTCCTGTAATCTTTCAGTAAAATAATTAATTGGTAGACATTCAATACATTAAGTGTTGAATAGCGAAATGTAAATAAATTTCGGAGTCTAAAATTTGAGATCGGAAGATGCTCATAAAAGATACCTTGCGGTATTACAGAAGGTTAAGACAATTTATGAGGAAGCAATGAAATTTTACCTTCAGTCAATAAGATTTTAGCGTCAAATTATATAAAGAGACCAAAAGACTATAAAGAATTGAATCATCAGTTTTGATTCTTTCTGATAGAGGAAGGCAAGTTCTGAGATTTTTGGCACTTTAACAAATTATTTTAAACAAATTAAACAAATTATTTCAAAATGATAAAAGTTGTACCAAATATGACAAACGAAGTGATTGATGTGAAAATGAAAGGTTATCTGAAGTTAATTAATTTCCATCCTTTTTCTTTTATAGCTTATAATTTTGAACAAAATTTTCTGTTTATTCTATTTTTTACCGACTTTTTTTTTTTTTTTTTTTATTAAAAAGATGCTCTTTCCAACTGCGACGGCAGAAGGGAAAATTAATTTTTTGTAAAATTAATTTGGACGGGTAAATATATTGTAGACATGAGATAAACTGTTGACGAATTACTTCACTGTCTATTTATTTCGATAAGTAAAATAAAAGTTTACACTGTAAAAGTGAGCTAAATTGTTGACGAATTACTTCACTGCCTGCTAATTTATTTAATTCCAGACATGCAATGTTCTATGAGTTACCTAATAAGGTAATTTTCTTATAATTTATGATACATAAGATTAATGTTATTGTAGAAGTAAAAATGAAAGACTAAAGATTATAGTCATTTTCATTCATCAAAACTAGGAATTTCCTAAAAAGAAATTAAAGTTACTAATTCGTTTCAAAGTCTAAACAAGAAATAAGGCATTTCAAAGTAGTTATAATTGCAAAATGAAATTCTCGATAAAAACGAAAGTAAATTTCTTGCTGAGTATATGACGAAAATAAAAGTCACTGCTAGAGGCTGAGTCATGTATTTCTATACCAAGTTTAATTTTTTTACTTTCATAAACAACAATTCATTAAAGGACGGTTAATTTATAATTATAACGAAGTTTTCTTGAATCAGATTTTTGATTGATCTACATTTAATTCTAATAAATTCTTTCAACAAATATTCTTGACTTCAACAGTTTTCCGCTATTTTTCTCACTTCTTCCATCTTTTCCATCCTATTTCATTGATTTCAGTCAACACATATTTAACTCTTAATAATTCATTATTCATAAACCATAACGGTAATTTTAATTATTTTAATTTAATTATCTCTAACTGAAATGGAAACTACGTGTTGGCACAGCAGAAGGCGGGAACATGGAATAGAACATAAAACAAGTGCAATCTGCAGAGTTGAAAAACTGCTAAAGCTAGGTATTTCGAAAGAAATTTTCGGGAAAACAACATTCCGAAAAAAAAATTTAACTCAAGAATGAATGAAAAATAATGTGCAAATTAAAGTAATTTTAATACATTACCTGGCGATAATTCACTTTGAATTCAATACTTTCTCGTTTTTCAGTAATAAATAAAAGAAGTCTAAAAATCCGTCGAATGAGTTAGACAAAACAATTTGATGTTTGATGTTTTTGGCATCATTTAAAAGAAGTGATGCTAAAAATTCGCCAGATAGATATACTATCTCAATAACCAAGGCCTGTTATTCACGGGTGGAAGGCATGACACTATGCGATTGAATCAATTACTTGAAAAATGGGTTATCTTCATTTTATACGATGTGCGGAAGTATGAAACTCTTCATATTCATGGGAGAATTTCGAAGTAAATAGTCAGTCTTATTAAATTAATTCTCCTTCCTGTCTCTCTTACTGAAAAGAAATGAATAAAAGGTAAAGTTCATTTTTCACATTTCCCTCCTCAATTAAATGACTTCACTTTTTTTTTCTTGAAAATTGTTTCTTTTATTGGATTCTAAAACAGCTTTCAATATCTGAAATTAAATATTATGATTTTGCTGATTTGGTTAAACATTTTCTTAGAAAGTGCTAATTGGCGGTTTTTTGATTGAAAGGGACTGTTTTAATAACATAAATCTCATTTAATAAATTTAATAAGAAGTTGAAAAATAAATCATTATTTTCTCTTATGCAAATTCCAGTGAAAAAGTCATTATGCTCATTGGTAATCTTTTCTTGCTATAAGGAAAATGGAATGATGAAAAACCAGTTAATTTTTTTTAAGTTCCTTAAATTATTATTAATTGATGCGAAAAGCACCCCCATTTATTAGAAACAGTTGTTTTCATCAACTAAAGTCATTTTCAGTAAAAAGTATCAAAAGGAGCAAAATCTGTTTAATTATTTATCCCCAAATATTAAAACTTTGTGATCAAAAATCTTTGAGTTTTATTTAACGACTTTTTTACCTTCCTTTCTTTAAAACTTGCGAAGCTCTTTGTATCTAAGCTGTTTAAATTTTCGTTTTTACTTAATTATTTAGGTGATAACGTCAATTTAAATATTATTCTCATCACCGTGAACATTCCTATCAAAAAAATATACAAATAGTGGTTCCTCTTGAAATTACAATTAAACTTTCTTTTTTTTTCTTTCTATCGACTAACCGCAATCTGAGTACTTTATTTGATTTGAGCAGTAAAAAAGTTCAAATGATAAGGAACGTTAGCAGGATAACTTATGTGTCGATGTGGCATCATATTATGATTTTCTAGAGAAATGTCTCAGAATGATTCGTTCTTAATTAATAAAAGAGAGTCTATTTAACTTATTGAATGAAAGAAAGCTTCATTTAATCATGTTATTCTTCTAATGATATCATATCATCCTTGCCATAAGTGTCCTTTTCATAATTATTGTTGGTATAACAAATGGATTGTTTTGCTTTTGTCCATGCTAATAGAGATTTATGATTTTTAGTTCTTTATTGTTTGGATATTTCTGTGCAAGCCTAGAAAAGATGCTTTAGCCTGAAAGATGATGACTGAAAGACGAAGACTGAAGGAGTTAAAAATAGGAGAATGGAAGAAGGAGGAAGATTACTATTATTATTCGGATTTGAATCAGTCAGATCCTGAACCTAAATAAAAACCTTGAATCATTTGCTCCAACATTCATTCTCTTTTTATCTTTCACCAATAATTTTATTGCTATTATTGTCGTCGTAATCTCACTATTAATATAATTATTATTTTTGCTGATATCGACATAAATCTTATAATCTTTCATTAATATTAGTATGTCATCAGTACGAGATACGATGTAAAACCCGGTTCAGTGTTTGGTTTATCATTTTGTGAAGAAAAAGAGAAGGTAAATGATTGTGATCATTGACGGTAATGATAAGCTCAGTGCATGCAGAACAGCAGCTCAGCTTGCATTCAAGGAGGACAGGATAGGTATTTGAGAAGACAAGTAGTCGAATGATTAATTATTGCCACCCTTTCTAGTAGTTTTACCTGCGACTCAAAACAAATAAATAAAAAACAAGTTCTTTAGTAATGACTGATGCCAGTGTTAGATGAAATAATTATAACAAATAATCATCACACCTGAGTGAGTATATTCATAATTATCTAACTGCTCATTTTTCAGATCGCTTCTGATAAGAATGTTGGGAAGATAATGCTAGTTGAAATAAATGCATTGTGAGCAAGTACAATATCAAAACGAAGGTGTAATCAAGCTGGTGAGAGTTTGTCGAAGAAAACTTCAATTTCTATTTCAAAGGAACAAAAAGCTTTAGATCATATCTTTTAAAAATATTTAGCCATTAATTTTGTAGTTTAGTTGAATGAAGCTTAGAATGAAAGAAGTATAAATTTATCGTCCTAGTAAAATGGAATAAAATCGATCAGTGATTGATAGAAAGTGATTCAGAAATCCTTCATTTTTTGATGGCAACGAAAGGACTTTTGCTGCATTCGGAGACGTATAGCATAAAAGAGCATGCGATGTGGCAAAAATAAAAAAAAAGTTTGGAATGAAATAAAATTTGGATATATCTAAAGTACACGACACAGCTTCGATAGTTCACGAAGTTCTGATGTCAGATGTTGCTTCATCTCGTAAGTAATTAACTTAAATAGTTGAGTGCCCTGAGTTTTTTCTAAAAAACTGAAATCACAAACTTGTAAACAATTAATTTAATAATTGTTGACAGAAAATCTATGCTTTGTTCCAACTCGTTTATTGTCAGAAGAATGCGATTAATCACATTTTATGAAATAGAAAGGTATAAATACTAGAAGCAGAGCTATTAAGAAGATATAAGGACTAAGAAGAGATGAACACTACTAATTCAACAGTTCGTTAAATAAACTATATCAAAAAAACACTGATGATTCACTAAAAATATGTAGTCAACTGCCATTTATCAATGCAATATCAGAAGAGAATACTATCCAATCGAGTAATTATGAATAGGCAATAGCCAAAATGTCACTGATAGCACTGCAGTTGAAGGCTCAGCTTTCAAAGTCATTATTCTTCTCCTCAAACATGCAGTTATGGAATTTGTAAGTCGTACTGACCGAACTGTCCTCATCATTATGCTGCTGTAACTACAAAAGAAGGTAGAAGAAAATTTAAATACCTCTTGTAATTATCTTAAAAAAAAAAGTTGGAAATAGCGAATAATCGTACACTGAGCAGAAGCTGTCGAAGAGAAAGTGAGCAGTTGTTATAACCTTCGATTTAGTAAATGAAACGGCGTCATTGACAACAATCAAAGATGATGACAGTATCGCGATAATGAGCTACCGTTGTTGCTACAGCAGCGCGACACATCAATTCAAATTTTGTTGACATTTCTTTTGAGCAAAACAAAAAAGGCAGAATTATGAATATGCCGTACGGATACTGTCATCAATTTTGCAAGCGGAAAAGGTTAATGTTGTTGAAAAACGATAAACAAAAAAACGACTTTATTTGGATTATAAATCTTGGGATTTATTTATTTATTTTTATTTCAAGTATGTTCACATTTTACGAAAAAAAAAAAAGAACTTTAGTCTTGATTGGATAGGTACAGAAAGAATGATTGAGACAACAGCGCAGGTATCAGTGATCTTGTCAATTACTATCTTCCCTGTCAGCAAGTGATTTAATGCTACTCACATCAAACTTAATTCTAACTAAAGAATGTTTTACCGCATTTAAAAGAAGGATGATTAAGGAATGTAAAACACATACCTCTAGTGGATTTCCATACAGTAGAAAACTCAACTAATTAATAATAGCTATCAAACAGTAGTCACTGTTGGTCATTAATTGATGTGCAGGAAGTGCGACAAAACTTAAAGTAGAAAACAGAGAGAAACAGCTCGAGGCTATTTTCTCTTGAAACCAGGATAGCGATAAAAATAAAACCACCCATTCTTTTCAGTGCTCCTTCATAAATTAGAATCACTTTACATTATTATCCTTCCTAAATGACTATAATTCACACAATAAAAGGCTAAAAAGAAGAAAAATTTTAATATGGGTGTGTTAGCAGAGATGTCACTGATACTATACCTGCACATATTCTTTTAATCGAGTGATTAAATATTAAATGTAGCAAAGTGCTTGAAAGGCAGTTTCTTCGATTCTCAAAGCACAAAACGAGTACTTATGTATAAATCATTCCGTAGAAATTTGAAATAGTTAAATAGAATTTTATTAAAATAATTTGATTAATTATCTAGTCATATAAGACTGATCAAGAAGCTTTTCTTTCTTTATTATCACGAAAAAAGGTGAGTGAATATAGTAAAAATTTCAAAGACAAATTGTGAAGATAATTACTTTAATGACATTTTAAAGCTTTACAAATTCTAACCTTACATATTGGAACTTAAAAAGAAATCATCTCGAATTTAAAAAATTTCTTGACAAAAAGTGGAAAGATAGGAATGTAATTAAACGAAGGCATAAGAGGTTTACGTCATGCTCTAAAGACTAGAAAAATTAATTAATTTATTAAATGATTTAAAAAAAAATTACACAGACACTCTTTTACACACAGTCTGCTTTTCCTGCTCTTTTCCGAATGTCTACTGCCATCTTATTAGGATGAACGGCAGAGAACACCCATACATTTTTACACTAAAGTTCGTTGAAGTTGTTGCCACTTTAATAGGAAATGTGAATTCAATTTTAGTTGGTGCAATTACACTTCAAAACTTACTGTAATTGTGACTCCAACATTGATACATTGATAGCAATAACATTAACGCAATTACAACTACAATAACAATAATAGTAAATCCTACAATTAAGATTATTCTAATAGCTACAATAATATTGCTATCAATCATGTTATTTGCAAATGAAGGGAAAAAGGATAAAAAAGTGTGTCTGCTAGTGTAATTTCAACTTGGAAATGAACTTCCCTCATTGTACGGAAAATGTCCCAGTTGGTGACTTTTTCATCAGTTGCAAAATAATATATAGCAACAAATTGTTCTCATAGATGAATTATTAAAATAGAATTCCGGAAATGAGATAAAGTATATGATTGCATGACTTGATCAATAATTTAGACCAGATCTTATGCTTGAATTACTGCCGCTGTTACCTGAGATGCAAAAAACAGGCTCAAAATTAAAATAGGCAAATTTGAAATAGAATTACTACATAAAATTCATCTTATCTGATCAATTATCAGTTATCATTCAGTTGCATATTTGATAATGTGAGATTGCAGTTATTATTATTACTATAACATTCTTTAAATGATTTTGAAAAAAAAGATAAAATTTTGTATTTCACTTTTTTCCTACTCTATCTTTCTTGGTACTGATTCGTAAATAAGGCAGTATGAACTAAGATATCAATACATCGCCTTAAAACTACAGAAGTAAAAAAAAAAGAAAGTATCATTATGAAATTAAAGGTTAGTTAATTATTAATTAATATTATCTTTTTGCAATATAATTAATAGTAAACAGTTATTCCTATTAAAAATGCTAGGATCACTTGGTCGATGACCATAGGATTAATTTATGTATATAATCTTTCATTTATGTATAATTATTTAATTTATATATAACTGATTTATAAACATAATGGAAATAATTTACATATAACCTTTAAATTCTGAGCCTAAGTCCTGGTCCAAGCTCTACATTTCTCGACACTACTCCCGACAGGAGTCTTTTTGCATTCATTCTAACATTTAAAAAAAAGATGGATAGAAAATGGGACAACCAATAAATTTAAAAAGTCATATAAATTAATTCTTCTTAAAGAAGGAAGAATTGATGATAGACACAATATTTCAAACCAAAAAAGTAACACACTGCCACTGCTGTAATATATAAATTTATGTTCTTCAAATAAATATTGAATGCAAGAAGAGGAAAAAAGGAGAAATGAAGCATATTCATAAATCCCAGATTTCTCTCCTATAAGCGCATATTTCTTGCTTTATTCAAACAAATGTATACCTATCTAACTACATCCCAGCACTACGACATTAATTTATCGTTTCAATCACAAGTACAAGCAGATTTTTATATATAAATAAGTAAATAGTTGATGCAAAAGGTGTCAACAAAACGGTACAGTTTCTCAATCATTTCATTGTAAGAAGTTTCGTAGACGATATTTCTTTTTTTTTTTTGGGAAGAAATTTCGAGTTCTTTTCATTTTTTGAATTTTTACGTATTGAAATTGATTAAATCAAGGGCGATTTTTTTAGAAATGAAAGAGTGAGACAGGAAAGAGAAAAGAAGCAAAAAATAGTATATCGTTGAAATTATGTCGTTTTGAGAGAATCAAACAACTTATGTTGAAAAGAAATTAACAAAGAATATACATATGCTATTGTTTTGAATAAAACTAATAGCAGTAGTAACAGTAGCAATAATAATAATAGTTCGAGTCATTATTTTCAGAAAGATTATGAAAGTTGTTTTTGGTCGTTTTCAAAATTAGCATAAATTCATGTCGAGATTATTAATTTAAACTAAAGTATGTAGATCTCCTTCAAATTTTAATGCATCCCTTATTTTTTTCTTCAGTGAGACTTTAATGACTAATAAGACTGCAATTTAATACGATTAAGAAGTTGAAATCCAACAATTAAGAAATCAGATTAAGATTTGAAAACTAAATTCATGCAAGTAAGTATTTGCAAAGGACTTACTTACCTTAGTATCGTTTAATTTCATATTTGTAACTTCGATTGGTTGGGGACTCTCGTTTCGTTTATAGGTGCATTTTTCACTGATCAGCACTATCGTTTCATCCGTTTCCAATAAATCAGTAGTTTGTTTAGAACTGATTTGTTCGATGTTGTAAGTTTCAGATACTGGTTGTAACTCATCTCCCATATTCTCAGCTTTCGGTTGATAACAACAGAAAAGATTCTTCAATGGTTTCCCACCCATTATTATAGAATCAGCAATAATCCATGTGACTAGGATTCACATCAAACCAAATAACACCTACAAAAACATTACGTATTGTTCAACTGAATCTTTTTCTACTACTCAACTGAATCTTTCTACGCTGTTCCATCAACCTACATTGTTATCAAATCACGGCATTATCTATCTATACTTCCAACGTTTCTACGTTTCTTGATTTCGTTGTCATCTATGCCAGTGTTAGATGAAATAATTGTAACAAATAATCATCATACCTGAGTGAGTATATTCATAATTATCTAACTGCTCATTTTTTGTATCACGTAATGTTATGTCACTGCTGCGTGAGATAATTGCAAGAGTTTTTGGTAAAACTTTTGGGCACATTCAGATTTCTTTTGATAAGTCATTTTACTTGGTTTATCATATCTTTCTCTATTAAGGTAACATATCTATCAGGCAGCAGAAATGCTTCCACTTAGTATAAGAAGCAAAAAACAATATTTTTTTTTAGAAACTTCGAGAACATAAATAGTATACAGTCCCGTTAGTTCATTTTCAAGAACTTGTAAGCTTTTGGTTCTCATTCCAACAAAAGGTAGTAAGAGTTTTATCTCAAAATATTTGAATTATTCAATTCAAAAGATTCCTGCAAAATGTATAAATTTTTTAGAAAAAAGAATTTTACTATTTCACAGATCAAAGATATCAATATAAATTTGAATAAGTACTGAAATGTCATTGTTAAGGTTGAAATGAAGAAGTGGTAATTCCAGGAACCTAGTTTTGATGAAAAAAGGGGACACTTAACAATCAGTAATATTACTCAAATCGTCTTTTACTGATTCAGAAAAGAATTACAAATCACGAATTTATGACTAATGTTTTTATTCATTCACAAATTAACCGAAAGTGAAATTCATGGGCTAAAATAATTAACATCTGCTTCTACCAATATTTTTTTTAATTTCACTTTTATCTATACAAGCTTTGAACAAAACTGTTTAACTTTTAGTGGGATTCCAGACATTGTCCACTGCTCACAAAGAAAGTCTGAGGTTTTTTTTTTCTTGTTTTTAATCATTTTCTAGAAGCGAACAGTGACTTAATTACTTCCAATACTATTTAAGAACTAACCTTTAAATAATAAAAATTGGAAAGTAGTATGGAATGTTCAATACCTCGAAGCATTCCATAAAAATCTATTTGAAAAGTAAACATAGTTGCAGAAGGATGATAAACAAAGATTAGAAGAGCTTGCAAAGTGGCAACAACAGTAGTGGCAACGACAAGAAGATAAAGAATATTGCTGGTAATGATGATAGTTTGCCGCAGAGTGCTCAGAACGTCCCTTAGAAGAGACAGTTGTTGTTTTGTTACATCACGTCACATTGCACCTGCATAATATTTCCAATTAAACTGGTTTTAGAGCTTTCAAGAAAAATAATCCCAACTTCAAATTTAAATTTATTAACGCATAAGGAAGTTGTCATAACTGTGGACACGATGGTATATTCAGCGGTCATAGTGCATTCAGTATAGTTGTTGATCTCATATAAAAAGATCATCTAGATAGGCCTTTTTATTTGGATTGAAATTTGACAATAATTTGTCACAAAAATCACATGGGTCATCAAACTATTAAAGAGAATTTTTTTAAACCACTTTTTAACTCATTTTTAAAAACAAACCTGGCTTAATGATTTAAAACAACCGTTCTATTCAACTGAACCAACTTGGCTTCATGACATTTACCAGGCTTATGAGTAAAAATTCATCAGTTTGATTGAACATATGAAATACGTTGGATAGTGAAGGGTTAGAATATTAGATTAAGTAGTATGAGATTAAGATCAGCCATTTGCTTTGTAAATAAAATCAGTAAGAAGGAAACACAGTGAATGTTGCACCTATCTTCAACAGAAAATGATCTTATCTAAAAAATCATAAACAGTTAAGTCTGACAAGTCAAACTACACTACAAAACTACTTTTCTAAAGTGTTGTCATTCAATATCATTTCGAAATGTACTCAACCATTAAATTTAAGTCAAACTTGATAGGTTCGCTTTTACCTGAGGGCAATTCGATGTTATTTACATTATTCCAGGTCAAACTTCCATAAGCATATAACAAAAATACTGGTTAAATGAATTCGATGTGAAAATGCATTCGACTATTTATTTGAATAAATCATGCAGAATGCTGACCGGATCGATAGTGATTAATTCAAAAATGATTAATTCATAAAGTGAGCAAATGTATAATGCAAATAATATAAAGTGGAATTTTTTAGTTACCATATGTGTGGTGCAATGTGTGGTCATGGTTGTTTCTAACATGTCATCTAGAAGTCTAACAAGTTCAAGTAAAGACAGTAGCGCCTGGAATGGTAAAACATGCTGTCACCAAATACTATAACAGCTAATAGCAGTAAATCGAGAAAAATCAATTATTCAAGAGCTGTTTCGATGATGTTAGGAGCTGGTGCTTTTGTTGTTGGCATGTTCTCTATTGGTATTTCCTCTGGTGTCAGTGGCATCTCCTCCGGTGGATGTATTCGTTGCAACTCCTGCAATAGCATATCAAGTTCGAGTCGAAAGTACAAAGTTGGAGGTTCTACCAATCTTGAATCGTTTGCTCAATTTTAAAATACTATGTTTTAATTACAATATGGAATATTCCAAAAGTATTTCAAATACAGATATTTTTAGTCTTTCTGTTAAGTTGTTCCTCTAGATGAAATAAATATGAGCAGCAGTTCACACAAGAAGTAAAAGTGACGTTAGCCTTTCCCAAGAGAACCGCCACTATTATATCAAGATGATGGTTTCTATTTTGCTAAAGTTATTACATATCAAGCATTTTATTTCAAGTACGGTTATTATATTCTCTTACAATCGGTGAATCCATTTCTCTCTCCCAAAGAACTTTCACTCATAAATTTTTATATACTCCGATATGCTTTTTGAAAATTTTATATTTTTTGAAAATTAAAAATAGTGAATTACCTGTTCATTTGATGAAATGTTTGAATTATCGGAAGAAGTAATATGAATAAGTGTACCATCTACGACATTATTGCTAGGAACTATATCCTGTTTATCCTGAACTGATTTTACCGATTCATGGCTCAAATCATACGACTGGGAGTGTGAACCTCCCATAATCTTCTCCTGTCCAATTTCAAGATCGAAAAAATCTAACAAAAAATTTCAATTAAATAATCGAATTAGATTTTTATATTTTATGAGTGAAATATATATACTATATCCTGTGATAACACATCACATGTTTGAAAATTGAATTTAATTCAAACATAAATGTTATGCTGAATCTCTACAGTTCTGAAACAACAATTTAACAATCAAACCGTATTCCTTTTCAAATGCTAAAAGATGAAGTAAAGACATGAAAAGCTTAAATTTGATTTGCATTTCACAATATTTGCAAGTCATCTACTGATCTAATTTAAATGAGTACTTCAAGAACTTTGCAACAGAAGATACTGCGGATGCATTCTAGCTGCTATCGTAGAATGAATTATAAGAAAGCGATATCATTTATTGCCCTATATCGTAAGTAATAAGAAGAGATAAAATAATAAAGTACCAAAGGATTTGAAATACAGATTTTATATTTGAATAATGAAAGTTTCACACAACCTATGAATCATCCTAAGCATTTAGCGACAAACAGCGTTTCAAACATCAAGATAAGGAACATTCTGGAAAGGATAGACAAGGAAATCATCACACAAAACCATCGTTAAGTTTTATTTTTTCTCAATAGCAAAATAAAGTTTTTCGAAGAATTTCGGAGTCCAAGAGGATAGCGACTGATTCATTGATGTTATCGAGGATGGCGATAAAAAATGATTCATTGACGTTATCGCGAATAGCAACAAAAGATGATTCATTAACATTATCAGCAACATCTTATCAGGAAATTTTGTATTCTCGTATAATATCAATGAACATCAAACTTCAAATTTGTAACCACAAAATATAATGTAGAAAGCATTCATTACTGCTGCTATACATATATACAAATTAGCCCATTAACAAGCTGTAACTATTGAATAACAGTAAAAGAAATGTAATTGGAAAGGGTAGAATTAAGTTGCACAGCAGTTATTACCTACCTAACACAGAAAACATATCATACTTATAGCACTAAACTGATTAATATTGCTGTCGGGAAAGTGATATGAAAGAAAGAGACGAAAAGATCGTCTTTATCAGTTTCAGTATGACCATACTAAAATAAATAGTGCAAATAATCAGTGCCCAAAACGAAAATGCGCTTTCTTGAACACAGAGCATCATAAGAAACAATGAGAAACGAGAGGAAATAAGTGATAAAAACTTTTAAAACATACAAGCTGCGACAAATCACGGGAAATAAAATAATGAATTCTATGAAAATAAAGGAATAAACCAAAGGTCAGCACTGGTTAACATGGTCTTTTCTTCTTTCCGGGAAGAAAACGAAGTTGTTGATGAATTTGTAAAATATGTTCAGGAAACTTATCTGCCAATCTGTGCATGCGACACTCACACCATTCATTCTGTACAATACAATCAAGCCCAGCAAGTCGTATCACCAAGCCTTAAAGTATTACATACGGCCGTGCAGAATTTGTTGCACACACACACACACACACATACACATTTCACTGTGATTCATATACAAACATTAACACTGATTCCTTATAATATCAAATATGTTTTGCAAAGTTTTGATAAAAATGAGAAGAAAGTAAGAGAGAGAGAGAGAAAGTTCTGATAATTTATTCCGTTAAGAGCAGATAATCTGGAAAAATGTGGTTAGCGTTTAAAAGTAATAAAAGTGATAGCTATTTACAAAAAAATTTGTTATTCTTCTTTCCGGCAAATCAACTCCTCTCTCGCTGTTGTTCACTTATTTCCAACGGAAAGACTGAAATTTGGTTAATTAGAAAACTTTAAATTTGAAAGTGAATGCTATCAATTTCCCTATAGTTTAAATCTCCTGGGAGAGTGCCCAAATCGAATTTATACAAATTGCTGGCAAAAATGTTTACCTGTTATGAATGAGTAGGATAAGTAGTTTTAACAAGAATTAAAATCAATTTTTGTTCTGAAATCATTCATTTGAGAAAGAGTTGCATTTTTATGTGCTATGCGTTGATCAACAATTGTGATGGATTTTTTAAAATGTTTATTTTAGAGAGAGGATAAGGCATAGATCAAACATCTTTTGAAGGGAGTTTACAATAATGTCACATGCAATTTTTGATAAAATTGATGATACTGAATATTAATTGACCACTTCATGGAATTCGTTTCCTTTTCCTCTGACAAGTTTTACTGCAATGTCAACAATTTCATATTTCAATTCTGAAGTCGAATTTTAAACTCTTAATTTAAGACATCTTTCACACAAAGACTTGTAAAAGAGGTAAGATTAAGCTGTTACTATCAAATTATCACAGGTTTGGTACAGCTTTTGTCATATATAGATGTTTTTTTTTAATGATTATAGAAAATTTAATATATAAATTTGTAACTACAGAAAATTATCACTTTTAAACTATTGCTCAAATAGTTTCAATTTTTAGCTTTTATTTATGATAATAATCTTTAATTACAGAATCACTGAGTTTATGATAAAAAAAATAACTCTTCCAGTACTTATATACTGCACTTTGCCGCGCTTCTGAAATATTTTATATATTTTTCAAATTTGAAGTTAGTTTAATGTAATTCTTCCAAATTAGATCAAATTTTGGTCTACTAAAATTGGTAAATTTATTAAATTTGAAATCTAGTTATACGTTCCGCATCATCTTTACTGTTACAGTCTCCTCAACTATGCTCTACTTATTTTATATTGCAGTTGTTGAATAAAATAATTTAAAATTGAAAAGAAACGGCACTAAATTTATAATCGATATCTTTAATTACTTAAATAGATCAGAAAGGAAAAAAGGTGAAAGGACAATTAATTAGAAATAAAACTGACTGCTCCTTCTAATAGATAGTAAAATGGAATATTGCTGCGAAAGTAAATGTACGAGTTTATTTTAATTTTATTGTTGAGATGTACAGATGGCGAAAGAATTTCTTGATGCTAAAAATCCTCGACCATATGATCTTTCACTGTATTATCTATACAATATTTCTGAAAAAGAGGAATGACTATCAACTTTGTTTCATCATAAAGTAACGATATAACTCAATCTTAGTTCTGGCAATTTGCGGTTGAAATTTAGAAGAAGTGGAATTATTGATAAATTGACTCCATAATTGCTTGACTTTTTTAACACATTACTGTGTTTAGTACTATTTTGACTACATCAACCGACTTATTCAAAGAATTTTAATCCTGAACTTCTTGAAATTTTCTTTAAACAAAGGATCTAAAATTTTCTGCGTAAGAATTCAATTAAAATTCGATGATGCTAAATTTATTATTTAAAAATTTCAATTTAGTATATGTAATTTCTTTTCACCATTTTAACGAGTAATTTAACTTCAAATTAGGGTTCAAATGCTGAAATGGTGCAACACATGTGGAATTACTTAATGAACAGCATTAAAGAGTGGGAAGGAAGGGACATAAGAAAAGGTCAATCACATCTTTTTCTTTTAGTTTAGTTAGCTTTAATAAAAATGAAAAGGAAGCTAGTGAAGATGCGAACTGCCAAGAGCATCTTCATCTCTGACATTATTTCAATCCTCTTCACTCACTCAACCTTTATTTTAAATAATCCTCAAGCAACTGTGTTTCTTCACAATTCTTTGCAATCGCTCTGCACTAATTATAATTTTTCTTATTGATTTAATTTTTTCCACATTTGGAGTAACCATTTAAGTTCATTTGTTTAATTATTTCTTCTCATAAACTTCTATTTGGACATCTTGAATGAGAAAAGTGGGTGACCCACGGGCAACAGAATATTTGCCTCAAACTTTACCTGAGTGAGAAAAGAATAAACAGATCAGGTAAATTTGATTGAGAAAATTATTGTGGGTTTGATAGTGACCAGTACGTTGCATTGTGCTCAAAATCACTGTACAGCCATTATTATGTTTATTATTGTGAATGTTATTAAACCACTGTAATTTTATTTTCAGCTTTTCTATTCTGAGATTAAGGTAACATGCTGATAAAATAAAAAAAAAAGCTTTTTGATACGATCACATATCAGATTATTTGCATCTCTAAGCTTTAAGATGGTTACGCGTTCTGTATCTTATTAAGCATATGTGCTACTTAGATATAATTAGAGACTTGAAGTCACAATAGGCTAGCCAGTAGTGGATATGTGTCAACAATACAGAAGAACATGGTCAACCTCAGCGAATTAGTAGCTCCCGTAGTATCACTGATATCACTGATGTCACTGGTGGCATCAGTGGCATACTGCAATGAAGACGCGAAAAGACTGCACGATGATTTGATGGCCAATTATAACAAGCATCGGCGACCAGCTCCAGCAGCTAATAAACCGATAACTATCAAACTGAAGTTGCGTCTCTCACAAATCATCGACGTGGTAAGAGATTACTTTATGCATAAACTGCTTCCAGAACTATTATAGATATGTTTTCATTTTTTCATCTTTCCTTTCTTCCTTTCGTTCCTTTGACCAGGTTCAAACATTTCGGACGGATACTGGAGGATTAGATTAGCATGACCTCAGCAGGAACTCAATTCCTGAAAACTACGTACTAATTAAGATCAAGTTCTAAACTATACTACTTTTGAAGCATTTGAATAATGTCTTCCTTTCTTTCAAAAGAATATTTTTTGAATTTTTGAACAAATCGAATTCTTGAATTAAAATTTCAATTCTATTTAGCATGAAATTGATCAGATAATGACATGCAGTGTTTGGCTAAAACAAGTATGGACAGATGAAAAGTTGTCTTGGAATCCAAAAAATTACGGGGGTGTAAGTGTGCTATACGTACCGTACGAAATGATTTGGGTACCCGACATTGTCCTCTACAATAAGTATTAATTTTCAACGAATAATTTCAATTTTATTTGATATTTTTAAGAAAACTAAAAGTTGAAAATACAAACGAAATGATTTGACCGTGTAAGGGTACTATAATTTTATTACATTTTTAATTCCGATTGATGCATGAGACTTTTCAAAAATGGAACCTTTTTT